GTTCAACGCATGTTCAACGTTGGAGGGTATTGCGACTAAGACATTGGTGTTAATAGGTCAAGATCTGTTTCGATTGGACAAAATTATGCCTGGAAAAAATTATTTCCAGGCATCTTACTTATATCTAAAAAGGGTGCTTTAGCTGAATAGTGGCCAAATTTCAGCCAAAACAGTCGGGTGATGGAAGGATCTTTCATAATCAAAGCTAATAGAAGTAGAACAACTGATAAAGCTTGACTATAGCAATTAAATAAACTGTTCATTGTAAAAGAGTTTGGGTTACCTCAACGCGTCTTCAAAAATATGTGGTATTTACTCTAAATATCACAAGCATCGATACGTTTTGTTGTAAAAATATTCTGGCAATGCAGGAATTTCCCCGTCAAAAGACCTTGCTTGCTCTCACCATATACTTTTAGCAATACAAAATTTCCAATTACCCCAGACACTAATTATAAATAATGCAAGTTTCAGGCTTTGAGATTCTCTAAGTGCAGAAATCAAAATTAAATTGCATGAAGCAAGGCTGTGAGTCCCATAAAAAGCTTCTTTAAAAAGCAGCAGCACTGCGGTCATTTGAAGATGTTATCAATAATTTTTGAAAAATATTTGCCTTTTTGTCAAGCCAACTTAAAAAATTATTTCCAGGCATGATAGTTATATATAAAAAGATCTTCTGCAGCATCTAAAGGTTATTTGTCATAAACGAGCATGTCATATATAGTAGCTTTAAATGAAGAAAAGTCTGAATAAAAGTGAAAAAGTGTCTGGAGTCTGAATAAAACAATGACATAAATGCATTTATTTTGTTCACACTTTAGTGGAACAAACCACTGCCATTGCGACATGGATTCTGTGTAATTATATTTCTATTCTTATAAACTTTACAATACTATATAGATATTTTTCAGTTATCTATGAATGAAACTGAAGATTTTATGAGTAGCTTATTGTCTTACCAATTATTTGATTAAAGCTACTATTATGTTACCAAAGTGCAGCTGTTATGTCAGACAACGTATATCAATGAACTCTGATAAAGCTTACTCAATATAAATAAGATCTGCAATAAATTGCCACTAAGTAAGAGAATATGTTCTGATTCTTATTTTAAAAATGAATTAGCAATTTGATGATACTTTTACCTATGGGAAGGATGGGATGGGAAAATGGATTCATGGATCATTAAAAAATCTAAGACTTAAAAATATCTTTTGCAATTGCAAAATTAATAAACTTGCAGCTCCAAAAATCCAGTTACTGCTCAGAAAGATGACATTTTCCATAACTGTTTAAGATAAATATTGTGAAACAACTAAACTTTACTTAGTGAGCATGGCTCAAAATTAATGTATTTTCAGCAAGTTTTAAATCTCTTGGATTGTGCATCTTGCTTATATGTGGTTACAAAAAATATAAAATTCTTGCCTGCATTTTTATGCATTTTGAATATGTATTTTTATTGACAATCTTGTAATTGCTTTCATATTGGAATGCCTGCTAAAAGCAATAAACTACAATGCATTGTTAAAAAAATAACCCTTAAATTGATAATATTTTCATTATATATACTATTTTTAAGGGTAAATTCAAGATTTAATGTAAAAACCACCTCAGTTCAAATATTATTCTCCATAGCCTATAAAATACATTTATGGCTTGAAAACAAAACTCATCACTCAATTTTTTTCATCATAGTTACATATTCAATAAACTCACATCTATGAGAATTTAGTCATCACCTAAAGAGTGAATCTCTATATGTGCAAGCAGGTAAATTCAATTCCCTCACATGCTCCAAATCACCAGATGACTAACTATAAAATTAACACTCAAACTAATCTTAGAAATAGTTTGAAGTACTTGACCTGTGAGCCCATCTCCGCTATCAGACACTTTTTCATAGATATGATATAGATGAAATGATAGTTTAATGAGAGTTTTTAATAGATTACCAGAGAAAATGTGCCACTTAACCAACATTTTCAAATGTTGATTGGGTATAAAACTACCAGAAATATTTACTTTCTGAGCTATAACAAGAACCTAGGTGCAGAGAGTGTGTAAATATCAGAAGATCTTTGGCAACACATAAGCATCAAAATACATGTCTTTTGAAGATCTTCCCAACACCTGTCTCTTATACACATCTAGATNTTTTACGGTACTGGCAACATTTTGGCCTAAATACAAGATCTTGCCAACAAAATTCCCAAACTCTGTCTAGTGGAAAAGAGCTAATTGATCATATTTAGTGCCATGCACTAAATATGCTAAATGACAAATATTAACATTTCTGGAATATTTCTACCTTCTACGCTATAAATAGAGCTTTCACACCATTTCTGGGACTGCTAGATTCCCAATAAATGAATCAGCTCCTATCTTATCTAATTGTAAGAAAAAGTACGCACTGCACCATCCGGAAGTGAGATTCCAAATCTATTGAAAATATGCCACTTAGGAGCAACAAGGTTTGTGGAATAAGTATGAAAATTCCATCTTGATTATTGTCTAAACAGGACAACTAAAATGTAGGATTTCATGTTTAATGATTGATGCCCAGCACTTCTATTTGGGAACAGCGGAGAAAAATGGATTCAGGATTTGTACTGGTCAGTATTTAGAAAAAAAAAATTACACGACTTTTCCATGACTTTCCATGACCATCAATATAATTTTCAAAGACTTGTATAAGACAGGTTTACCATGACAAAGACTAACCATGCATATTCTATCATCTCCTACAGTTGCAAAATTAATAAACATATATAATAGCAAACGTGTAAATGCATAGCTCTTCATGACTCTTTCAAAGGTGGCATGGCTATTCAAAGCTGCTTCCCCATATTTGACAGTTGACACATCGAAGTCTTTTGAGCACAATGTACATATTATTAACAAAAAAATGCCTTTAAAGTGACTTTAAATGTATGAATCCCATCATGACCACACCTTGTTTTCATGATGGGATAAACTACAAATCTTTCACGAAGTATGGGCACATCATGCTGCCATGTAAACATTTGACAAGACTGTGACACACACCTTGTTTAGGTCATGCCAAGTTTGATTTCACAATAAATAAATTTGATCCACATTCCACACTGAGATTTAATGATGGAAAGTCATTTCAAAATTAAAGCACCTAGGTACTGATATGCACCCAGATATGAATTTTTACATGTTTTTGTCATATTATGTCAATATTGTCTTAATAACTTCACTTCAAATTCTGAATGATTTTGTCTCCCATCGCAAGTTTTCAAATGTCTTGCATCTTTTAGAAAAAGTTCGTTATTTAGAAGAGGCAATTAGTGCATTATATAAAGCATTGCGTGCTTAGGCATGTACCATGAGGTGTATTAAATAATTTAATTTAATTTAATAATCTAATTCCTATTTACTTTTTAAATTTAATTCTACAGTCTACACTCTACACTTTAGAATGAAATTTAATTTGATTATTTAATACACCACATGGTACATGCTGTAGAATTAAATTATATTAAAAAATATTTGGCAATGCCAAATATTGGCAAAAAGGTTGGCAATGCCAATGCTGCATCTGGAACCGGAAGTACATCTGTTGCTTGTTTGCTGTCACTGTGTGAGCATGTATGAGATTTTGCTCTTGCAAAAATCATGCGAGAGCAAAATGCAAGAGCAAAATGAGAGAGCAAAATGTTGAACATGATGTATTGCATCATGTTCAACTTTATTTGTGGCGTAATTTGTTGTCAGGGTACACGCAGTATATTCCGACATCGTGGGTAACTCCAACACTTCTCAAATTTTTTCCTTTATATTAAGCTTTTTCTTAGTTCCATGCATTTGTTGATGGTTGAAATAGTGATATCATACTTTTGCGTGCCATACTATTGCCAAAACACTAGGTCTGGGCCGTCTGGTGGGAAAATGTTGAGATCCAAAGAGAGAGTGCGCATCACCCCGTGAGAACATCGAAAAATGTGTCAAAGTTGATAGTTGACCTTGCTCTACCAAATAGTGATAAACTGTTTGTGTAGAAAGAATATTATGGTTTGAGACTTTTAAATGTCTGTGAATATATTAGGAATCCTTTAAGTATACTTGTATTTGCTGATTTCAAGTGGTAAATAAATTAATAGATGATTAAGTTAAGACATGGATTTAGACACATAAAAACTAATTCTGACACAGCTTGGAATTAGACACACACAGCTCGTTTCCAGCTGTGTGCAAAAATTAAAATTTTCTTAATTAAAAGCTTAGTAGCTCTCAATTAAAAGCCTAATTATGTACTATGTAGTGTTACTAGTGTTCAATATTCAATACCATGTTCTAATTCCAAGCTGTGTCGTATTCCAATACAGCTCACACAGCGATCAGAATTTGAACACAAGAGTGTTGGCATTACGAATTAGTAGAGTTTGAAGCGTGGCCGGAATTAGTCTCACAAAATTCCCAATTTAGTCACACTCAGTGTCAGAATATATATATATAGATTTGGTAGATTTGCATTCGAAAGGCCTTTAAATAAATATGGAAACATTTTGTGACGTTTCATTGTTGCTGGCGTGTAGTGCAGTGTTTTGAGAGTGATGTATTGTAAAGCAAACAGAACTTGAGTTGCACATATGGTGTATTTTTTATAACCATTTATTTTTTGCTACGTCCTTAAACTCAGTTTAAGTTAAAGTGTCAGAATATACCGCATTTACCCTAATTAATATATGTTAATTTGTTGTGTTTGACTTGGAGATGAATTGCTATTGAATTAATATTTAATCTACCTAATTGAAATCTTGAACAGTGTGGAATTCTGTATAGTTAATATATTCTCATGTTAATATATGAAAACGTATCGAAAAATCAACCCTACCACCGCGTTACACCACCTCACCTTCCACTGCAGTGAAATCATATAAACTGAGCTCATTGGAAACTGCCTGCCGCTCTTCCGAAATCGCGCGTGGTTTGAAATCCAATCCCGTGTTGCCAACGCCGNTCATACTCACCAGCAACAGTATATCGGTCCATATAATTTATCAAGTTCACATAACACAGAATAATAACTGTAAAAATCTGTCTGCGTGTTATAATTATATTCGGAACGGGCGATACGACGGAAGCGGGTGGAGTCGAGGATCTCATTAGCCGCTGTTCACTGTTATTGCTTATTAAACCGTCGTCTGCCATTTTGACTTGAGTACTGTCACAATATTGATTCAGCTGATTAAATGTAACAAATGAAGAACTATTTAATTGAATAGATGAAGTAGAAACTAAATTTTCTACTTAAATAGTGGTTTTTGCCTACGCCGGCTACACACACCACCCGACAGAGGAGTTGATGGTCAACTACACCTATGTCAAAACTCAAAACATTACGCTCACTTCAACTGCCACGAGCAAAATGTTTTCTCCCTAGATATAGCCAAAATTACCTTAAATATATTTTGAACAGTATTTGAGATTTCGAAATGTAACAAATAATTAACTACGAAGTCATACGCGAAAACTTCTCACACAAATTCAATTCGTCATGATAAATAACGTTTTTAAGTCCAACTCTATCGTCAGTTTTAAATTGCCATGACGGAATTCACACGAGAGATTAAATAAATTATTTTACATATAAAAAGCCAACGGCAAGTGATCGCTAGTAAACAAAATTTTCGAATTTGAAAGTGAATTTTTAGGAAATTTGCCATTCATCTCATTTCATGTACTTGTNTAGTAAACAAATTTTTCGAATTTGAAAGTGAATTTTTAGGAAATTTGCCATTCATCTCATTTCATGTACTTGTATGTACATTCAGTTATACAACGCATCTGACCTCTCTTACTCTCCCAAATATGTTTAAATATCTCTCAAACTAATGAAAGTCTAGTTCGAACGTAAAACTGCAAATGCATTTACTAGGCTAAGGATGTGATGTTTGGGGCGTCATAATTATTTTGATTTTGCCTTCGTTTCCAAGTTATACCTTCGTATGGGCCAAAATATTCGAAGTTTCATCGTTTCATCGAATCATATTCGACGTTTCATCGTTGACGCTCCGAGTATGAACGCGTTCAAGAACAGATTAGATAAAGCTAAGGAAAAATATATGTTCAGACTTGAAATTCCTAGCATAATATCGAACCCGGTGAAAGTCTAGTAACTATTTGAGTCTATTTCAAACTATCGTCAGTCTGGAAAAGATCCGGCCTAAGGCAGGGTGGCCCAGTGGTTAAAGTTCAGAGTACCAAGATTGGAGCAGGGAGGTGCGGGTCCGATCCCAGCTCTGTGCAACAGTTTCTGGTCAGAATAGGCAAGGAGGCCGGGCTGTTAAGCACAGCAGAATTGTAGCAGTGAGTTGCGAGTTCGAGACCACTAAATGCTGTGAATGTTCTGCGATGTCAAGAATCGGCGACAGGCCTACGGCCTACTAAACGCTGAAACCGCTATTATTATTATTATTAAAGGACACGATTCTAGATCTTCTGTGAACAAGTCACAAAAAGTACAATAATCGGCGACAGGTCACATCAGGCCTACTCTTCAGCGCCGACATCATTATGTTAAGTTATGTTAAATTAGGAAGGCCAAGTGGTTAAAGTTCGGAGGAGGACGATAGGAGCCGAGAGGTGCGTGTTCGATCCCAGCCCTGTGCGCCAGTTTCTGGTCAGAATCTGCAAGGAGGCCGGGCGGTAAAGCAAAGAAAATTTGAAGCAGTGAGTTGCGAGTTCAAACCCGCTACATGCTGCGGATGTTCTGCAAATGTTAAGAATTGGCGATAGGCCTACGGGCTAATAAACGCTGAAACCGCTATATTATATTATTATTGCATATTAAAATTCATTGTGAGCCTTATATATGTCTTCTTTCCAGCTGTACGGCTTTGAACGAAACTTACCGCCAAACTGAACACTAAGGCGAAATTAAAATAAATGGTCTTGACCTAAAAATCACCGTTATGACCTAATAAACAAATGCGCAAAGTTTCATCGAACTACCTTTATCAGTTTGGAACAAATTTTAGGTTCACTGCAAATATGACAATCGACCACAAAAATACCGGTCGTTTCTCCGTACAGCCGTATAACTCGCAAAAAAAAGCAAAATCGAGAAAAAAATAGTAAAAACATCACTATTAGATGGATAGGAATTCCTATTCAAAGTTTCATTAAAATCTGTGCGGTAGGATGGAAGATATATTAGATTCACTAAAAATTTTGTCCCGTACCTATTACCGTATAACTGACAAACGAAGGCATCATCGAAAAAATTGTCATGACCTAAACATCACCATTAGGTTCTACTGATCACGTACACGCAAAGTCCCATTTTGCTGTGTTCACTAGTTTGGGAGATATTTTAGGCTTACTTAACCTTGGAGACCCGGCCGTAGAAGTGTCCGAGAGTGCGCATCTGCTGTCAATCAAAAATATAGTATCCTTATCGGTCATCATCAGAAAAAATTCATCAAGCTGTGTCACTTCCATAGAGTGTAATTTAAATAAAATTATATGTACTTTCAAATCTCTCTTCCCGGCTCTATATTTAACTATTTCAACCACTACCTTACATCGTAATCAATCATAGTTCCACTCCATTCTTAAACCAACCATTCGTCCTCTACCAGGACCAAAAATAGCAAAAGTACACTGATCTTTGTTCTTTGCACTGATACACGACAATGACTCGTCTACCATCACGTTCCTCACTCGTCTACATCAACACACGACACTTACGTGCCCATTTACTCCCTCACGTTCGGGGGTGACGTTCCTCACTCGTCTACACCAACACACCACACTTACGTGCCCATTAATTTACTCTCCCTCACGTTCCTCACTCGTCTACACCAACACACGACACTCACGTGCCCATTTGCTCTCCCTCACTAGTCTACACCAACAAACGATATTTACGTGCCCATTTGCTCTCTCCTAAGCAATGGGATGGCGGTTCGCTCCACTCGGACGTTTTCTTAGTCAGCATTTTCATTCGTCACAAATATTTTCTGTAAATGTTAACGATTGGACTCGCCTGCTGGACGAAAGGGAGCCAGTGGATGATGCATTGTACCTCGATTTTGCCAAAGCATTTGACAGTGTTCCGCATGAGCGGCTGTTTCGTAAAGTGAAGTCTTTGGGAATTGAGGGAAACGTACTCCAATGGATCAGAGATTTTCTAGAAGGTAGACGACAACTTGTCAGTATTAACGGAACCGTGTCAGACTGGGCATCAGTGCGCAGTGGCGTGCCACAAGGAAGCGTTCTTAATAAGCCAATTTTGTTCGTTGTTTTTATAAACGATTTGCCAGAAGCAGTCTCCAGCGTGTGCTCCATGTATGCAGATGACACTAAAGTTTATAATACAGTGAAGGATGCGTCAAATAAAGAGCAATTACAAGATGATCTTGACAGTTTAGTTAACTGGGCTGATACGAGGCAGCTGCGGTTTAACGCTGACAAGTGTAAAGTACTTCACCTCGGGAAGAACAATGAACAGCAAGATTACAGTATGAGAAGACATGGTTGCAACTAGAGAGTATTGATTGAAAAGTCTAGTGTGGAAAAAGATCTAGGAGTTTATGTAGACAAGGAGCTGAAATTTTCTAAGCATGTTGAAACGTAAGCTAACACATCCAACAAACTTCTTGGACTAATCAGACGCTCACAAGAACAGACTAGATAAAGCTATGGAAAAATATATGTTCAGATTTGAAATGCCTAGCACCATATCGAACCCGGTGGAAGTCTAGTAGCTGCTTGCAACTATCGTCAGTGATGAAAAGATCCGGGCAAATGAAACGATATTAGATCTTCTGTGAACAAGGCACAAAAAGTAAAAGAATCGGCGACAGGCCACATCAGGCCTACACTTCAGCGCCGAGATCAATATGTTATGTTATGTTTAGTCACTAGTCCAAATTTTAAACATATATATTATAGCCACTCATCATATCTGTCTTAATAACAGTATTAAATATATTATATATCTCTCCTCTCTTACCAGCATATAGGTCAATGGCTGATCCATTCAATTTTTTTCTCTTCATTTAACACCTACTTCAGGCATGATCATGCATAGCGGTATAGGTTTTTATTCGCTTCGACGTCGAGTCACCGACATGTGGAACGGACTCCTTGTTGGTTGGCATTGGACGTGTACGAACGCATTCAAGCACAGACTAAGTAAAGTTATGCAGAGAGATACGTATCGATTAGAAGTGCCTCCCACCACACAAATTGGAGGGTGATCAGCAGCTTCTTAGCTTCAACGCTATTTTGGAATAGACAATCAGAGGCCAGCTCTCAGATTTTCTGGGGACAAGCCAAGAACATTGCAAGAATCGGTCAAGAGGCCAAACTTGGCCAATTCTTCAACGTCGACAATAATATTAAACAAAATATATTCCACATAATTAATCTAATGAGACAAACTCTACTTTCGTTCAATGGTTCTCATAGGGTGTCAATGTATAAACGCACCTCACCTACCACGTCCATCACATAAGCATATTTTATTAGCTCGCTGGCTCAGCTCACATTTTTACAACACTTCTCTTTAACTTCACTTCTTGTTTGTATGTCTGTCTGTCTGTCTGCTACAAATCTTATAATCGAAATTTAACACACTTCTACTTATCCTATCGATCTGAAATTTTGCACACTTTTGTAAAGTTGGAGACAATGCAAGAATCAAATGACAAAATAGATGATTTTAGAAATGAATTTTTTTCGATATTAAAAAATTTGAAAAATAATTTTGTCACATACTAATCTTATAACATACTTGCCCCACTTTTACCTGTCCAATTGATCTGAAATTTTGCACACATGTGTGAAATTGCAGACAATGCATGAATAAATTGATAGAATAAATAATTTTTTAAAAAAATTAATTTTTTCAATATTCGAAAATTAAATGAGAAATTAATTGTACATCTTTAACATTGGAGAAATGGATTCTTTAGAAGTGTTCATCTGGATTCTTTAGAAGTGTTGTCTTTAAATGTAATTTTTAAACGTATATTATTATATTCTAAGGTATAATATATTTAAGTCTGCTATCGTTTGAGCGTGTTCACAAGCAGAAATTGCTTGTGTTCAGTTCATGACTATAGTAATATGCCCGGTCACTTTTTTATTTATTCTGGGGGATGATATATTTAAGTCTCCTATCGTTTAATCGTGTTCACAAGCAGAAATAGCTTGTGTTTAGTTCAAGACTTTAGTAATATGCCCAGTAAGTTTTTATTTATTCTAGGCTGTAATATTTTTAAATCTCGTATCGTTTGATCGCGTTAATTAGAAGACATTGTTTGGGTTCAGTTTAGGGTTATAGTAATAAGCTCAGTATGATTTTTTATAATATAAGTTATAATATATTTAAGTCTCCTATCATTTGACCGTGTTCACAAGCAGAAATTGCTCGTGTTCAGTTCAAGACTATAGTAATATGCCCAGTAATTTTTCATTTATTCTAGAGTATAAATATATAAGTTTGCTATCGATTGATCGCGTAAACTAGAATATATCGCTTGTGTTCAGTTTAAGATTATATTAATAAGTTCAGTAACATTTATTATATTCTAAGGTATAATATATTTCATTTAACGTCTGATCGAGTTCACAAGCAGAAATTGCTTATGTTCAGTTGAAGACTATAGTAATATGCCTAGTAATTTTTTAATTCTTTTAAGGTATAATATATTTAAGTCTCCTATCGTTGGACCGCGTTAACTAGAAGTCGTTTGTGTTCAGTTTAAGATTATAGTAATAAGCTCAGTAAAATTTTTTATATTCTAAGTTATAATATATATAAGTCTCCTATCGTTTGATCGTGTTCACAAGCAGAAATTGCTTGTGTTCAGTTCAAGACTTTAGTAATATGCCCAGTAATTTTTTGTTATTCTAGGGCATATTATATTTAAGTCTCCTATCGTTTGATCGCGTTAAGTGGAAGATTTCGCTTGTGTTCAGTTTAAGATTATAGTAATAAGCTCAGTAACTTTTTTATGTTTTAAGGTATAATATATTTAAGTCTCCTCACGTTTGCTCGTGTTCACAAGCAGTAATTGCTTATGTTCAGTTCAAGACTATAGTAATATGCCCAGTAATTTTTTATTTATTCTATGGTATAAATATAAAAGTCTGCTATCGATTGATCGCGTTAACTAGAAGATATCGCTTCTGTTCAGTTTAAGATTATAGTAATAAGCTCAGTGACTTTTTTTTAGATTATAAAGTATAATATATTTAAGTCTCCCATCGTTTGATCGTGTTCACAAGCAGAAATTGCTAGTGTTTAGTTTAAGACTATAGTAATAAGCCCGGTAATTATTAATTTATTCTAGGGAATAATATATATAAGTCTCCTATTGTTGATCGCGTTAACTAGAAAATATCGCTTATGTACAGTTTAAGATTAGAGTAATAAGCTCAGTAACTTTTTTTATATTTTAAGGTATAATATATTTAAGTCTCCTATCGTTTGATTGTGTTCACAAGCAGAAATTGCTTGTGTTCAGTTCAAGACTATAATAATATGCCCGGTAATTTCTAACATATTCCAGGGAATAATATATTTATATCTTCTATCGTTTGATCGCGTTAACTAAAAAATATCGCTTATGTTCAGTTCAAGATTATAGTAATAAGCTCAGTAACTTCTTTATAATCTAAGGTAGAATATATTCAAGTCTCTATCGTTTGATCGTGTTCACAAGCAGAAATTGCTTGTGTCCAGTTCAAGACTATAGTAATAAGCCCGGTAATTATTAATTTATTCTAGGGAATAATATATATAAGTCTCCTAGTGTTTGATCGCGCTAACTAGAAAATATCGCTTATGTTCAGTTTAAGATTAGAGTAATATATATTATATTAGAGTAATATAATATAAATAACTTTTTTATATTCTAAGGTATAATATATTTAAGTCTCCTATCGTTTGATTGTGTTCACAAGCAGAAATTGCTTGTGTTCAGTTCAAGACTATAATAATATGCCCGGTTATTTCTAACATATTCCAGGGAATAATATATTTATGTCTCCTATCGTTTGATCGCGTTAACTAAAAAATATCGCTTATGTTCAGTTTAAGATTATATTAATAAGCTCAGTAACTTTTTTATAATCTAAGGTAAAATATATTCAAGTTTCTATCGTTTGATCGTGTTCACAAGCAGAAATTGCTTGTGTTCAGTCAAAGACTAGTAATTTTTCATTTATTCTAGGGTATAATACATATAAGTTTCCTGTCGTTTGATCGCGTTAACTAGAAGAAATCGTTTGTGTTCAGTTCAAGATTATAGTAATAAGTTCAGTACCTTTCTTAAAAGACTGCTCTTTAACTTCACTTCTTGTTTGTTTGTCTGTCTGTCTGCTACAAATCTTGTAATCGATATTTTACACACTTTTACCAGTCCAATCGATCTGAAATTTGGCACACTTGCGTAAAGTTGGAGACAATGCATGATTCAATTGACAGAATAAATAATTTTATAAATAAAAAAAAACATTTTTTTTTCATTATTAAAAAGAAATTAAAAAATAATTTCGTCTGCTACAAATCTTAAAATCCATATATGACACAATTGAACTGTCCAATTGATTTGAAATTTTGCACAATTGCAAAGTCAGAGAAAATGCATGAATCAATTGACAGAATAAATAATTTTGAAAATTTACAAAATTTTGTTATCATGAAAAAATTTTGAAAAATGATTTTTCTTTTAAATATTTGAAAATAAAATTAGAAATTTATTGTACATGTGTAACATCCAAGACATTAGATTGTTCAGAAGTGTTGTCTTTAAAAAGTAATTTTTAAACGCGTATTATTCACTGTCACCATACGATCAACGGTGGTTTCTATCATGTTCAACCTAGTGCGCACAGCTTGAATTTCTTCGGAAATTTCTTAGTCAGAGTTTTAATTGAGATTACTGTGACAATTGACCTTGAAACTAAGTATTTTCTAAGTACGTTTGAATAACGAAAGATTTGCGCATGATTCGACAGCAGCCTACACAGCTAAAAATTACCCAACACAAGCTGGAACGCGAGAAGAAAATGTTGACCACATGGGCACGAGGCTTACAGCTTTCGATGCAAAAAATACAATGAGCCTGCGAACATACCGTACACATCAATCGCTACTGAATTTGTAGATGGACATCTTTACATTGTTTAACAGCGAAAGCTGTAAAGAAATTCTTTTGTGGTAGATACACTCATCGGGATCACTTAATTGCTGGTGATGAGCGGTGTCGATGTATCAGGTAACCTGAGGAGAACGTGCGCCAACAGGGAGGGTGATGCTTGATCTACGTGCTTCTGGGTATTTGCCTATTCCGCTACTTGTTAATTCTTTGAGACTTATCTCGAGTGTTTAACTGGATTACAACTATTCCTACCATGATGCCATCAACATTTTTATGTGCCCTTGATGAGAGCGCAATTAACTATGAAAACGCAATTAAATAATAAATGAGAAATAAAAAGCACAACTTTAGGTAAAAATTGAAATCGAAGTAAATATAGATGGGAAAAATTACAGCATTTACTACTATATATTAGGTTTATCGTAGTGCTCTAACAGATGAAATTCGTCATGACCAAACTTCTTACTTAGACTTGCAAATCTCTTTGAAAGTCAGAGCTCATCAATAAAAAATTCATAACGATAATTTAATTATTATCTGTAGCAGAAGAAACTGGATAGCCAATGTTACAAAAAAAATGTTTTAGGGTAATTATATCATAAATGTCCCTTTTCGGCATACCGAAATCCGTTCCATGGGTCATTTTAGAACTAGTTAGCGCCTGAGTCCTAAGGATTTAACAGATTAACGTCAAATTTCAAGTATTATCTACACAATGGCTGGTCAATTCAACCACTATAAAGACCAAGCTGTCAAATTGCTGTACGAAAAGAACAAAATTACCGATTTCTTAGCTAAGGTTGAAAGTAAAACTCAAGTTAAGCGAGAGTATTTGGCCGGAGGTAAGGAAGGATTTAGGCCTAACTACTCTAAAGCTTGAAGCCCCAATTCTTTTGTAAGCCTAATAGTGTACTGTGTAGTACTGTACATAGTCTGTACTCTGTAGTTGTTATCTTCCGGTTCGTTCACTGCAACTTATCGGGTAAACGACTACCTACGTAGCGGCGTAGCCTACTTTAGCCTTTTAGGTACACCATACATGTGCATGCAATATGCATAGCTTGCCTTTGTAAATGTGTCCAATATGCTTGTTCATTATTGAGCTTTTAGACGTGTTGTTGAATGTTGGTGGGCATGGTGGCCTGTATTAGCCTAGTAAAAAAGTTTTGTTACATTATTTCAGTCTAATTTTGAGATTTGATTTTTTGCACTTTGTCTATGAATGTGACTTTGACTCCTTTTTTCAAATCATTCTGTAGGCTAATCAAATTGATAATTTTGAAGATAATGGTTGTACTACAAGGTAAGAGTAGTTAGAGTACTTAGTCAGTAACTAGTCACTGTCACTGAGCAGGATAGAATCGGGGCTGGAAAAGTCCTATTTTTGTCTGAAATAATGCAGCTCTAATATCACATAATTTCAGTAGGTATGAAATCTCGCGGCTCAAATGTCATAAATTATTGTTTGATGGAAAAATTGCAGTTTGCACTTTGCAAAGATGTCATTTCATAAAATTTTAAACTTGCGCAATCCACATTGTTTTACCGTTCCTGCCAAAATATCCTGCAGAAAAAACATAAACATCATAATGTAAACAAATCAACTAAACGTCTTGTTGAAGATCGTGCATAGTTGCGGTCATGTCAAAGTGGTCAGAACTTAGACTGCATTAACACATGCTCAATTTACAGTTAAGACAATTTTTATTGTTGCCATTTGACTGTTTTAGGGTAAAATTAGATATTTGAGGTAACATGTGCTGACCATGGTCAGGAAGATGTGCCAGGTGCGCGGGAATTCATTTTGTCATTTTAACAACCTGCGCGGTGCGCCGTACTATGCCGGTAAAAAAATGTGCCATGCGCCGTACTTTTAGAAAGCTAAAATAGTTTGAATATGGACGCGCGGCAACGCAAATTACGCAATCACACTGACCGTACACTGTACACACAAACGCATAGTGGCAAACCACAGCTTTTTTAGAATCAGTTCATTTTTAATTTCCTAATTTACCCAAGATTTAANGTCTTCCGGATCTCTTCTTTTCCGTCTCCGACGCACTGATGTCAGTGTTTGAGACGTCACCCATGATCATTTTTCTTTCACATCGTGAGAAGTCGTCTACGAATAAACACCAATCAATGCACCTGTCTCTTATACACATCTAGATGTGTATAAGAGACAGGCCGTAAATTTGTCCAAGACATGTTCTGGTTGACATGACATCCGTTTGCTTGTTTGACGCTAATTTTGTATAGGTTGCTTCAGATAAATTAATCATTGCTATTCCCATGTTTCACCCTCAATTTAATGTAGCTAACGATATTGAATGGCATTATTCATACAAATCTGTATCTATTAAACTTTTACATTTTAAGATCTGATGGGAGCAGCGAGCATCCCTAACAATACAAGGATGTACCTATATAAAAACATTAATGATCTAGAAGCGGGCTTCAAAAAAAATATTTATATTTCAACATGGCTTTAATTAAATAATAAAGATTATTACTTGTATTATAATAAACATGAAGTCTCCCTATTAAAAAGTTATATTTCGTTGGTCATCAAAGATCAAAGTTTATATCAACTACGCGAGTCGAACTAACAATAATAAAATGTAAGACATGTCCGGGTTACTTCTGACTCTTCCGCTTGTCGGATACAGAACGTATGGTAATCGTAAACTGCGGCTATTATACATAAGAAATGTAAACAGACGGTATTTAGTGTTGCCATATGACTTTGGAGGAAATTTTTTCTAAAATAAAGTTCTAGATTTCTCATTCACCAAATTTTTGTATCAAGAAAAATCATATATTATTGAAAGATAATTAAAGGCATGCTGTACTGAGTATTACGTCTGTTCCTCCACAAACTGCTCTTGCGCGAAGAGAAACAATTTTGATTACATTGCGCCAACTGTGCGCAGCAATGGCTTAAAAAAAGTCAAAGTGCGCGGGAAAATTCCCCAAAAACATACATCATCCTGAGTGTGGCATGTACATGGACTTTGTAAATAAGTTTGTGCCTCATAAATGGCTTTTCATGACCAAGATATGGAATTCACGGCTCACAAATCCATAAAACCACGGCTCGAAAAATTCAGTTGCAGCTTGCCAAGTGGATATATTCCATGCCTGGGATAGACTAATTCATTTTTGTTGATGGCAAAAACTTGAAAATTGGGCGAGAGTCACTAGTCACTAGTAGTCACTAGTCAGAGACACCACTCACAGCAGTGAATGAAAAATTACCCTTCTTCATAGAGGATTTATTCCTCTGGCTACTGCCCAATAGGCTCTGATTTATGTCAAAAAATTTAGATACTTAGGTATATATAATATGGCACATGCAGCATGTGGTTTTGATTGTCCACAAGGCACATATGCAGCATTGAAAAGGAAATATTTCTTAAAATGGATTAAATATAGACATTTTATTGTCATAGGAAAAGACCAGAATATTTATTGATATTGCTTAAACATAGCATTATGCATTCCTGATGATTACTATGTGAATAATAGTTTAGATTCCAAAGTAACATGGCAAAATTCTGTGGGGTAAACACGGTATATTCCGACACATTAAGGACGCATCGAGAAATGAAAAACTATACAAAAATAATGGTATGCGTTACTCGAGTTCTGTTTGCTTTACGTGACTCTCAAAACACCGTACTACGCGCCAGCAACAATGAAACGTCACAAAATGTTGCCATATTTATTTAAAAGCCTTTAGAATGCAAACCTACCAAATCCCTATATTCCGACACTGTGTGACTATATTTGGCACGTGGTGAGACGTATTCTGACCGCGCTTTGAATTGTACTAATACGTAATTCTGACATCCATGTGTTCGAATTCTGATTGCTGTGTGAGCTGTATTGGAATACGACACAGCTTTGAAAAAGAACACTATTGAATATTGAGCACTACTTAATTAGGCTTTTGATTAACAGTTATTAAGCTTTTATTTAGGAAAATTTTAATTTTTGCACACAGCTTGGAACGAGCTGTGTGTGTCCAATTCAAGTTGTGTCGGAATTAGTTTTTATGTGTCTAAATGCGTTTCTCAACTTAATCATCTATTAATTTATTTACCACTTGAAATCAGCAAATACAAGTATACTTAAAGGATTCCTAATATATTCACAGACGTATTTAAAAGTCTTGAACCATAATATTAATTCTACACAAACAGTTAATCACTATTTGGTAGAGCAAAGTCAACTGTCAACTTTGACACATTTTTCGATGATCTCATTGGGTGGCATGCACCGTCTCTCTTTGGATCTCAACATTTTCCCACTAGATGTCCCAGACCTAGTGTTTTGGCAGTAGTTTCACGCGCAAATGTATGACGTCACTATTTCAACCATCAACGAACGCATGGAACTAAAACAAAGCTTAATATAAAGGAAAAACTAGAAAGGTGTTGGAATTACCCACGATGTTGGAATATACCACGTTTACCCTATGCAAACTAATTTTTTCCCTCTCTCTTAACTGCTTTTGGGTAATGTTTTATTTGAAGGAAAAGGTTTTCTGTTGGAATCCTGGCAGACCTGTCTCATTTGGATTTTGGACAGGTGAAACAGTGAAATGCAGTAAAAGGAGTTTTGTTTTGCTTGTCCTACTCATTTTATTGAGCATGAAATATAATTAAAAATCTATTCTAAAATATACCTGGCAACTTATGTGCATAAGATTTTAGGAGAAATGGCAATGTTTGTATTGGATATTTGCTATAAGGGGAGCATCTGGGTCCCAGAAAAACTTTTTTTTTATTTACAAACAGAGCACCTTGAAACTTGGTACACATGTGTGAAACAGAAATCAAAGATATTTTTGTTTGTGTAAATTTAAAAAAAAGGAAAGATAACATGTAATTATTAGAAAATGGCCAAAAAAGGGGCACCATAGATATTTATCTCCTCATAGGATTTTCAAGCTTCAACATCAAGATGCATATCATTCAATGCGTAAACTATAAAGACCATATCTATTGATTGCTTGTAGCTTTTTTTGAAATTCTAAATTTTGTAGGTGGGGGGAGGCATTTTTTGTGAATTTTTTCATTGGTTGCCCCCACATTTTTCAAAATGTTTTCAAAACTATAACAAAATTGAAAAAACCTACAAGCATCCTCTAGATCTTTTCTTTACAAATCTAGTGGTATATCTCTCAATTCTGTAGCTTCAAAACTGTAGGAGGAGATGGTTTCCCAGTGACAATAAGTGTGAAGTACAGGAAAGCCGACAAATGGCCAGCTGATCAAATCGCGCTAAATATAGGCATTTCTTAACTTCTAAATATAGGCATTTTGATAGCAAAGTTAAGTGTTCTTTCACTTAGAAGCAAGTCTGTGATGTAGAGAACAACTTCATGAACACCTTCCCGCATGACAGTTTGGGGGGTAACTAAGCTCGAGGCCGTCAGGTGACACTTATATGTGGAAGCAGAGCGAATTTTCTCAGTTGAGATTTGTGAAGGACTAGATGAAAGTTAACTCTTTCGGGATCTGTCATGAATGCGTATATCAACATACAGAGATGATTTTGGTACCATTGGATAGGTCAAAATGTCAGCTTTAAGATGAGCATAAAAACAGGAAAAGCCCAAAAATTTTATTTTGGACCCAGATGCTCCCCTTAAGAGCAAGAATTTGGTGACAAATTTTTGCTCCTAATTTGTACTTACAATGCAATAATTGTGTCTGAGTTAGGCCAGGAAGTGTGTAAGAAGCATTCATCATTCATGTTCAATCTCACATAATTAGCAATTAGACTATTTAAATGTTCTAAAACAACTTTGAAAGTTGTGCACAATCATGGGTCATAATTGCCATTCTATAGTAAATATAAAAATATAACTCAGTACTCACTGCAGTGAGTGACAGAGCACATTTTCTCATTGACGAAAACTTGAGGTTACGGACAGACAGACAGACGGTTGGACGGACATGGCAAGCACAATAGCGCATTTTTTCCATAAATGAGAAAATGCGCTAAAAAGTATGGGCTTTTGGGAAATTGGAGTGCTCTGTCATAATCTACCGTACCACATGTATGTCACTACACCTTCCTCCACTAATTCCCGTAAATCACTGTGGTGATTTGCTGGAATTTGATTTAGGCCACAAATTTCCATGAATCACTATGGTGATTTACTGGAATTTATTTTTTCAACAGCATTTTATGGAATACGACTAGGGAATATATTTGTCTGAATAAAGATTTCTCCAGTTTGCATGGAAGATTTTGCATTTTGTCAATCCAGGATGTTAAATCCAAGCGGGACATTGTTTCTGGATGATTAATCATTCTCCCACTTTTCTGAAGAAAAAGTCCATATGCCACCAGCATATGACCTTTTTTTAGTTTTAATCCAAGGCAAGTTGATATTTGAGTTGAATTAGACCTATATAATTTTGAGTTGATCTTCAACTAGAGAATCATTCAAAACATTAATGTGCTAATTCTCCTAGCAAGGTGCTTTGGATCATACATAACATCCGATGCATGACTGTTGATCATTATTTGTTGCAGCTTCTATCATTTTTCTGGGTGCTCTGTTGATGCTCTGACATTATTTTGGTTGTCAGCTTCTCCTTGCAATAGGAAATTGTTCATTAATCATTAACTTTGTAAATTGACAACCAATTATAGGAGTTGAAATTAATTCCTACTTATATTCAAGTGGTATATAGAAAAGATAAGCAATTCCATAATTTTATATCCAAGTGACAAGTATTCTTACCACATATAGATGTCCTAATATTACATATAGGTATATGTTCCAATATATTGGTATTACGATATTAGAATCACAAAAGAGCATACATATATCATTAGAACATTCATCTAAGAACACTATTCAGCATAGTAGTAAATTATGGCTTTAAGCAAGAAGTGATAACCTATGTTTTAGTAAGTTGAAATTTGGCATGCATGTTTATGCTGCCTAGCAATTCAAGATTTGATCATCAGAAATAATAATAAAAAAAGAACACAATTTTTAAAAAGTAAAAAAACACTGAAAATTCATAATTTGGAATTGAGTTTTTTCTCGAAGATCCAGACTTGCCAACCCTGGAAATTGATTTGAATTGCTAACTAAAAAGTAGAAAATAAATAAATATAAAAATATTTTCAAGTACCACGTTTTTTTGGTTTTTTCAAAACTAAAAATAGTGAAATAAAACAAACAAAAAAGAAAAATATTTACTCTTACATAACATTTTACATAACTTAAATGTTTTGTAAGAGTAAATGTTTTTCTTTTTTGTCCGTTAAGAAAACGTGGTTTTTAAAAGTTTTTTTATTTGTTTTATTTGAATTGTATATAATTTTAGCTAAGCACCATTAATAAAATTTCTGCCAAAGTTGTGATGATGAAAGGACCCATGGTGTAATTGACTTGGAATTACCCAGGTTTGAAATGATTTATGAATTTATTTCTGTTTCCTTTAAATTATTTTTTTCAATTAATTCATTCTACTTAGTTTGAATATCTGAGTCAAATCAGTTGTTTACTTATGATTCATTTATTTCAGGTTTTCTTGGTCTGCTTGCTCTGTACCTCATCTTTGGCTATGGAGCTGAGCTCATCTGCAACCTCATTGCCTTTGTGTATCCTGCATACCGGAGCATCAAGGTGAGTTCACTGCCTTAAATTCGTTCATTCTTTGCTTCAGGAATATTTTTTCTCGAGTCATGCTAGGGCAGTGTTGGTTCTTAAATTTAATAGGTTTCAATATGAGAATTTATATTCAAGTACAGGGTAAAAATAATATACGTTTAAAAATTACTTTTTAAAGACAACACTTCTAAAGAATCCAGTATCTACAATGTTTAAGATGTACAATGAATTTCTCATTTTATTTTTGAATATTAAAAAAATTAATTTTTCAAAATTTTTTAATAAAGAAATTTTTTTCAAAATTATTTATTCTGTTAATTGATTCATGCATTGCCTCTGACTTCACACAAGTGTGCAAATTTTCAGATCAATTGGACAGGTAAAAGTGTGTTAAATATCAGTTATAAGATTTGTAGCTGACAAAATTTTTTCAATTTTTTTAATATTGAATTTTTTTTTAATTTTTAAAATAATTTATTTTGTCTTTTGATTCATGCATTGTCTCCAACTTTACACAAGTGTGCAAAATTTCAGATCGATAGGATAAGTAGAAGTGTGTTAAATTTTGATTATAAGATTTGTAGCAGACCGACAGACAAACAAACAAGAAGTGAAGTTAAAGAGAAGTGTTGTAATTAATGAAATTTTGAATTATGAGAGATAATTGAGAAGTTTTTCAGTTATAATATTGTAGACTTTTCAAATATTAAATAAATTTGTCATATAATTATTTTTCTTTAATTTGTAATTTTTCAGGCACTGGAGACCAATGTGAAGGAAGATGACACCCGCTGGTTGACCTACTGGGTCGTCTTTGCAGTTTTCTCCATTGTTGAGTTCTTCTCAGACATCCTTCTGTCCTGGATGCCTTTCTACTGGCTGGCAAAGGTATTTCTGTGAAATAATTTTGATGTGTTGAGTATATCTTTTTTGTTTAGTGACTTGAAATTGTTCGTCTGTTACATAATCTGATATGAAATTATTAATATCAGCAATTTTCATTTGCTATTGGGTTACAAAATCAGTGAAAGTTGTGTTAATATAGAAGTGTGGACATAACCAACAGGTGCACAAATTCCTGGCACTCCCTCTAATGCTAAGCAAACAAATGCTTGTTTCTACAAGGTTATATTACAGGGGCAATGATTGTCAGGAGGTTCTATCACTCAGTTCAAGTTAGTTTGTGTGATAACAATAACGTGCAAGACCATGTCTTCTGGGCAGTGTCTCTTCCTAGTGTGGTGCTACGTGCCGACCTCCTATAATGGGTCGGACATGATCTACCAGCGCATCATCAGACCTGTATTCCTCAAACATCAAACCACAATTGATGCCACTGTGGACAAGGTGATGAATACCTCGTGTACTTTACCTTTTATCTCATAAAGTTCTAAAATGCTTGAACTTGAAGTGTTGTTGCTCCATTGTGTTATGGAGCATTTATATCTATCGTCAACGCAGTAATCATTAATACTATAATCAACGATTTTTTTTTCAAGAATCTCTTGCGCTATAACTGCAATTAATTACCAGCACAAGATTTGTTAGGTATAATTTCATTGCTCATTGTAGCTTGCGCAATTTATCATTGCAGTGGGCTTCTTTGTAACGTGTTGCACATGTTATCATTGTTTTCTGCATATAAAAAAATACTATAATGTGAGCCAAATGATTACCTGTAGACAGGACTTAACTTACTGATATAGCGATAATATTTATTAATTTTTTTGGGCCTTTAAAATTATACTTCGCTGTTCAAATCTGTTTGTAAGTGCGTAAAGATTAATAATTGAAAGAAGAGTTTTCAATCACCACTTCTGTCTTCCTTTAATGATGCTCATTACTTAACTCTGATGTGTTATTGAAATTTTATTAATTATATAACTTCTGATGTTGGAGCAGTTTGGGGACAAGATCAGCAAGCTGGCAGAAGATGCCACAAAGGCGGCCTCTGATGCCATCAAGAAGGATTAAATGGCACCCTCTACAGCCTGGTTAGTGAGCATCCTGCCCATTAGTTACTAATTATTTTAAACTATTATTTTTAACACACTTCTCTTTAACTCCACTTTTTACAACACTTCTCTTTTCTGTCTGTCTGCTACAAATCTTATAATAGATATTTAACACACTTCTACCTCTCCAATCGATCTGAAGTTTTGCACACTTGCGTAAAGTTGGAGACAATGCATGAATCAATTGACAGAATAAATAATTTTAAAAATTAAAAAAAATTTCAATATTGAAAAAATAATTTTGTCTGCAACAAATCTTATAATCGATATTTAATACACTTCTAGCTGTCCAATCTATCTGAAATTTTGCAGACCTGCGTAAAGTCGGAGATAATGCATGAATCAATTGACGGAATAAATAATTTTGAAATTTTAATTTATTTTATGAATTAAAATAATTAAAAAATTCAATTTTGTAATATTCGAAATTAAAATTAGAACTTAATTGTACATGTTTCACATTGGAGACATTGGATTTTTTAGTAGCGTTGTCTTCAAAAAGTAATTTTTAAACGTATATTATACAATACTTCTCTTTAACTTCACGTCTTATTGTTTGTCTGTCTGTCTGTTACAAATCTTATAATAAAATTTAACACATTTCTAGTTATCCTATCATGTGAAATTTTGCACACTTGCGTAAAGTTGGAGACAATGCATGAATAAAATGACAAAATAAATAATTTTAAAGAAATTTTTTTAATATCAAAAATGGAAAAATAATTTTATCAGCTACAAATCTTACAATTGATATTAGACACACTTTTACCTGTCCAATTGATCTGAAATTTTGCACAATTGTGTGAAGTTGGAGGCAATGCATGAATCAATTGACAGAATAAATAATTTTGAAAAATAAAAGAAGAAATTCATTGTACATCTGTAACATTGGAAATACTGGATTCCTTAGAAGTGTTGTCTTCAAAAAGTAATTTTTAAACATATATTATTGTTTGTTTGTTTGTCTGCTACAAATCTTATAATCAATATTTAACACACTTCTACCTGTCCACTTGATATAAAATTTTGCACACTTGCGCAAAATCATAGACAATGCATGAATCAATTGACGCGATAAATAATTTTGAAAATTTAATTTTTTTTATATAGTAATATTTAAAAAATTTAAAAATGATTTTTCAATATATGAAAATAAAATTAGAAATTCACTGTAGATGTGTAACATTGGAGACACTGTATTCTTTAGAAGTGTTGTTTTTAAAAATTAATTTTTAAACGCATATTATTATAATGCATTAGGTTTGACTGCTTGCCCTGCACCTCAATTTTGACTATGAAGCTGAGCTCATTTGCATAGTCACTGCCTTTGGGTATCCTGCATACCAAAGCATCGACACAGTTCATCCGACATAATTTAACCGTTTTTGTTGAATTTTTTATTGATTCTATAAAATCCAAACTCCATGAGTTGGATATATTTTATTGGCAAGCAGTGATGGTAGCTTGCTATGGGTTAAATGTTTCATGCATCATTTGCAATAATATCTTCAGAAAATGGGGAAACCTATTCTGAAACCGAGAGTCTTGATGGGGAAAGACTTTCTTATTATACACTATTATTATTATACTACACTATTGTTTTTATATTATTATTCATTAGGTTGGACTGCTTGCTCTGTACTTCAATTTTGACTGTGAAGCTAAGCTCAAAGGCGAAGAAAGTCTTTCCCCATCCAGATTTCCAGTTTCAGAATGGGTTTCCCCATTTTTCTGAAGATTCGATATATTATTATATATAATATATTTATATATTATATATAGTAGATTTTTTATATAATATTATATAAAATATAAAAAGAAATTTCACAAATCAATGGTTGCTAATATGTGGAGCTGGTGAAATGGCAAGTGCATATCTGTGAAATCGTGTATGCTAAATAAACGACGACTAAGCATTTTTTGGACTTTGGATTTGTTTTTTGTTTGAAAACTAAACTTGAGCTTTAATTTGTGCAGCTTGTCAAGAGACATCAATCGTGTATGCTAAATAAACGACGACTATGCATTTTTTGGACTTTGGATTTGTTTTTTGTTTGAAAACTAAACTTGAGCTTTAATTTGTGCAGCTTGTCAAGAGACATCACATGGACTTCAGGCTCACTACACAGCACGACAACAGCGGCGTCAGCAAGATTTTTTGAATTTTTAAACATTTCTATTTAACTGCAGCCGGTTCGACCAAGACACTAGTTGAGTCTTCAATAAAATCTTCATTCTTCGATATATAATTAAGTAGACACTTAAGAACTTAGAAGCTAGTAAAAAATTTTCTTACAAGCTTCTTGAGAAAAGCTTTCTTTTGGCACCTTGTATAGCTCAGCAAGCTGTTGTTTGGAGCCTTCGGTTGCTGCGACACTGGTAATGATGAGGAACTCGGCGAGTTGTTATATTTGTAGTTATCTCCTAATGTGCAGTTTATGGCATCGTCATTGTTGCATCTGGTCTCAAGTGAGCTATCAAAGGCATTGTTTTTTATTCCCAAGTTCCAAGTCACGTTGGGCATTCGAATGTGATGTCACATCAAGTAGATGTTCAAAGGCTGGTATATTTTGTGCTACCTCTCTCAGTTACAGCCTCTTTCCCTTTTCTCTTTGTTGGCATACAATTCCCTCGTATTTCATGAAACGGACTTCAAGTCGATTGCGATTACCGATGCGTGAACCCGTGTTGCTTTAGTGTGTCGATCTCAAACTTTTCATACAAGATATCCAATGTATGCTCAAAATGATGGAATATATGTTCTCCTCCTACTAAAATCGTGGCTCGATGCCTCGTTACCTGATATTCAACTCCAAGTGATGCAGTGAGGTTTGAAGAATGTATGGTAAAGAAGCACGCTAATGGAGCTACATTAGTTAGGACTTGCTTGATGAGGCCTTGGAAGAAATCTTTGTATATTTTGCTAGCATTGAACTGAATTTGTTAGCTTACTTTCATCGGTTATAAGTTACTGTAAGTAGGTATTTCAGGCTCTACACAAGTAAAATATGACCATACATTTCTATTCATTAAGGTCAACCCAGATTTATAACCTCGAGTTGTGATCGCTAGAATCTCTGAGTACACAATCCTCGATAGGTGTAGAACACCTACTAGCCATAATACATGTAGTACCTGTTTTCCTTTTTGTGTGACAAGCGAGTTGTTTTGTTTCTCCAAGTTTTTTCCGGACTAATTTCTTAGAGTGGTTTAATAAAGGACGCTTTCTCTGTAACTCGGTTGTCACCTGTGCCATTGGCTTTCTGCGTTTTCTTTGAAAGGGCGATGGTAGATGGTTCCGTTTTTATGCATGAAAAAGACATAATCCAGCAAATTATCATCAAGTAGCATTGGGACTAGAGTTGGGATGTAGAGGTGCAAAAATTGCTGATATATCCATTGTCTACTAGCATTTTGAGTAGAAACCGATCTGTAGTGTGAGCTGGGTTCAATGTGTGCGTTTTTAGGATGAAGCATTAGTTTCCTTTTAGGTGGTAATTCCTTTTATATCCTTTTACACGTTTGCATTGCACCTGTCGCTTCAAATATATACCTTACTCTTCAGTTTGTCTTTTCAGTCCACGATTCTGTTGGTGAACGGCATGACTACATATTGTACTCGCAAAAATTGAAATTATTTCTTCATCTTAAATGTATGGAACCTTTGCTTTCTCTAGAAAGTTCCTTGTGACGATTTTATTTCGAAATGTGATTTTTTTTCATTGAATTTAGTACACCAGGTAGGGTGCCGCACACAGTCTCCGCGTTCCCTGGGATCCCACAGCCGGCGCTTGAGCATCACTCAGACGAAACTTAAGCACAAAAATTGGCTCGGATACTAATTGCTAGTAATTGAGAAACCGGTTTTTGCACTCGTGTAGTTGTACTTATGGCTGAGCTTGAAAATCTTTGTGACCAGCATAAACTAGAAACTGATAAATGCTATTTGGGTGAACGGGGAAATCCTGTCCTCTGTGTTTTCATACCTAATTTGTTGATTGTAAATTGTAAGAAATTTAGAAAACGATTTTTTTACTCGCCAATTTTTTCATAATAACGATTGACTAATTTTATCTTTGTGTCCAGCATAAACCTACAAATTTGATCGTTAGCAATTCTGACGTTTGAGTGCTAATAATGATGGTCGTGGCGACTATCGTATCATGATGACATTGCGTCGCGTTATGCTTCTTCGTGTAGCGCTCGTCGCTGGTGGTGACCGGAGTAGAAGAAACCCAAGCAGACTAGTTAACACTTGTCAGCTAGAGAGGGATACATTCATCGAAAAACTTATTGCACGAGCTTAAACCCCGGGTTGGGAATTAAAGTGTTTACTTTTTTATAACAGTATATATTTGTATTATAGACTGGCAGGCCAGGTCGATGTTGCCCGGAATTGATAATCCCTGCAAATATAGAATCTAAAGAGGCTTAAAATCACCGTATGGTAATTGAAGAAAGATTTATTGAAAAATAAATGCCATAGAACATTGAACTGAAATTTGAAGCCCTTTCGAAATGCGAAACGCTTACTCAGATAAATTAAATCATTCGAAAATCAAAATGTATTTTTTCCCTCCAAATTTTTTTTTATGCGAAGAAACGCTGTATTCCAAATAATATATTTTCATAACCTGGCTCTCCTGCTTTTCTAAAAAAAAACTTATTTTTACCATGGACCCTTGCATGGACCCGCCAACAACAATAAAAAAAGGTTATCATGCTTCATGGTTGAACCATGATCTTGCTTTGCTTGTCGCTTGACGCGGATGCAGAGCCAGTCAGCTGCTGAACGGTCGATGTGTTGTACCGTGTACGTACGATTTTTCAGTCTAATACAGTAATAGTGAATGATGGACTTTTTGTCATTATTTTTAGATTCTTGAAAACTTAAGGGTATCAGTGTTTATTAATATTCACTGTAAACGTGTATGAGTTATATAATGCAGCTAAGTGACCTTTTCAGCGCATATTTCTACGCAGTACGCCTGACTGAGTACTACGGCGAGTACTCTCACGGTAGACGGTTACACGCAACGTAGGTAGTTTTGTAGTTGTACTTTGTAGTAGGTACGAGTACGTTGAAATTTGAAGTGTCGAACCTGACAGAATTTTTAGAGCTTACTTTGCTCAGAAATTGTCTAAATCTTATCTAATCTGATTCCATGGTATTTGGTAACGTGGTTCAGTCTTTCAGAACTTCAATGGGAAGGAAAAAATTGGGCAGAAGCCACAAGTCTTACAAGAAATCATCTGCAAATTCTAACCAAAACATTTAGAACTTTGGAAGCATATTGACAGTCTGACATACCACAGATTTGTCTAGAATTGGATCATTTTTAATTTCCTTATCAGACTCATCTAAGTAGGTACTCAAGATTTTAAATAATTCCCTATCATCCTATGTGTGATCACATCATCACAGAACACAGATCACTGTGGTGTGATGTGGCAATGAATTCATAGTGGCAAACCTGAGATTTTTTAGAATCAGTTCATTTTTGATTTCCTAATTAACTCAAGATTTAAACCAATATCTTGTGTAGGCCTATATCTAGATAATGCTAGTATTATAGTATAAAGTATAGTATACATGCATAGTGGCAAAGCAGTGAGTTTTTCTAGACTATTCCTTAAGTTCAATTCTGGGTCCTATAACAGCGGCCAGCAAAGTATCATGGATACCAGAAATCCAGAATTATTATGCATTATTACATAAGATATAGGTTTAAATCTTGAGTAAATGAGGAAATTAAAAATGAACCAATTCTAAAATATATCTGGTTTGCCACTATGTTTAAGTATACATGATACATTGATACTTGGCTGCTCTACTTCTGGACTCAATATTGAACTTGAGGGGAGTCTAAATAAGTCTCTTCTTTGCTGCTATGCCACAGTCCCATCTTTCCACTTTTCTGCAGCCAATGATATATTTATTAGGCTAGAGGTCTGTTGCCAATTCTTAACATCACAGAAGCTTGTTGCATGCTTGAACTCACAACTCACTGCTTCAATTTTGCTTTGCTTAACCGCCAGCCGCCTGTCCTCCTAGCCGATTCTGACCAGAAACTGGCGCACAGAGCTGGGATCAAACCCGCCCCTCTCTGCTCCAATGATAATCTTGGTACCGGGTACGTACTCTGAACTTTAACCACTGGGCTACCGGGGCGGGTACCCCTGTGCCGGTGGTTAAATTGTAACTTCATAAATTCTGTAGTGGTTTTGGAAACAGATACCTTAATATCTTCTACAATCTACACTAGAACTAGATAGCAATTGGTAACAGGTTTACGTTTAGAAAAAACCAATTTGCCATTGGAGAAATGAAATTAGAAATTTGTAATATTATGCAAAATTTTTTAGAAATTGATACCTACCAACTTTTGTATCACTGGTGATTTTCAAAAATCACAAGCAAAAATGTAATGGTTTTTCTTATTTTTCTGAAAGAAATTAGAGGAGGGCCAATAATATGGGTAAAATTTACTGCAAGTATAGGCGTTTATCTCCCATTCATGTGTGACTAACACTAACTTGTTAAGTGACCTCTGCCCATTTTTTCCAAAATAGATAATTCATAGAACCAGAATATCTTAAATTCTTCTGATGCATCTGTGAATGCAGAATGCTGACTTGTATATGGTACTTGACTACTCATTNGTTGAAATTCTGACAACTCTGGCCACACTGGTCCACACTATAAAACATTGATTTCATTGAGTCCCAAGTGACAAGTCCTTCAATTTTAAATTAATGAATAATATTTTGACCAGAGAATTCATGTTCCAAGCCCCAAATTCATTTCTCCAATGGCAAATTGGTTTTTACTAAACTTGAACATGTTACCAATTGCTATCTAGTGTAGCAATTTCTATCTAGTGTAGCGATTGCTATCTAGTGTGCCAATTTCTATCTAGTGTAGCAATTGCTATCTAGTGTAGCAGGCAGAGTGGTGGAGACGCAGGTAAGCGCACCAATAAGGGAAGAGTCTGGCATTCTGCTGGCCAACATTGATGGGGCTCTTCCCACGGAGAGCAGGTCACAAGATTGGCATGCTGCGTGAGATGGTTGACAAGGGTGGGATCTTTATGATTGCACTAACGGAGTTGCACCTAAGAAAAGATATATTCAATGCAGAAATTACAATGGAAGGATTCCAACACTACCACGCAGACCGGAAAGAAGGGGGGAGGAAGTGTCTAACTTAGGAACTCCCTCGCAAGAAGCACTGTAGAATTGAGATCAAAATCTGGAAACTCTGATGGCTTTGTTGAACACGTGCTACTTCACTTAAAAAAAATTTGACTTGTGCGTGGCCATAGTCTGTAGACCACCTGCTTGACCGCTGGAAAATTTCAACGAAACCCTTAAGGAAATAGAGACCAGGGTGGCTGAACTGGGTGACCTAGCCCCTAGCCTGATAATTGGTGGGGACTTCAACCTCCCATGAATCCGTTGGACAAGCCCTGGCGGCTTAGAGTTTGATGAACGCGACACAAGTCAAGAAGCCCAACTTGTGAAGTTTGCTGCGAAATACTTGCTTAGTCAGCAGGTACCACGGTTGCCAACAAGAGAACACAATATTCTTGATCTCTTCTTTACTAATAATGAAAGAATGGTGGTTGACGTCCAGGTTGAAGATACCTCACTGTCAGGCCATCGCTTAGTGATGGTGGAAATGACAATTAGAATTGAAACCCTGCCCAGGTCTATACCCCAAGAGGGACTGGCAGGACTTAACTTTTACAATCAAAGAACCGATTGAGGGGCAATTTGGAATGAAATTGACAAAATCGATTGGAGAGCGGAGTTTCACGAGATGAATGCCTGTCTCTTATACACATCTAGATGTGTATAAGAGACAGCTGTACGTACAATAGTTATGAGTAGAACTCCATGGTGCGGCCTGTACGTACAATAGTTATGAGTAGAACTCNTAATAGCGGAACCTACAAATAAACTAGTATACATTGAATTATCGATCTTTTTTTGCCTTTTTAGCGCATTTTCTCATTTATGGAAAAAATGCACTGTTGTGCTTGCCATGTCCGTCTGTCCGTCCGTCTGTCCGTGACCTCAAGTTTTTGTCAAAGAGAAAATGCGCGCTCTGTCACTCACTGCAGTGATTACTGAGTTATGTTTTTTACTCGTGCTGTTTCACCCTATGGCAACTTCCACAAAATCAGCAAAAATGTTTAGGATTTGAAAATTTTGATAAAAGTGTGGTTTAGAATATCAGAATAACCAAAATGAGTTAAATGCTATTCATGAGCCACTGTTTTTCACAAACCAAAATACATGACATACAAGGTACAAGATTTAAAATTCTGTAAAATTGTAGGATTGTAGAGCTACAATATGCCAATAAAATAAATTTTTTTTGCCTCAATTGTCATGCCATGATACCCATATATTATTGTTTTTCTAATATTTTCAGTGAATTGTTCAATTAATTAGATGTAATCAATTTTGCAAAGTTACCCTGGTGTTGGTTCTTGTTTCAAATTCTAGTAATCCTTCTGGGACCTTGTATAAGCCATGAGTATACTTGTATGCTTCAGTGAGTTCTCCACGCTGATGTTGATAACTGAGGCTTGGAAGCTTCATAATCTTTAATCTTTCCTCATAGGACTTGCCATTCAAGCCCGGAATTATCCTTGTTGCACGTCTTTGAACACTCTATTAAATTTTTGTCCTTTTCAAGTTTTGGTGACCAGACATTTCCAAACTCTAGGTTTCAGGGGCACGACAGCAACTAAATATTATTATGATATTTAAATGATATTTAAATATGCCCAAATATTTGCTAATATTATTGAAGAATTGTTGCCAGAACTGAATATGCCTTCTAAATTTATTTTTTATGATATTTATACAAAGCTATACCTATCTTACTGACAAATCCTTGCAGATAAATCATTATGCTGGAGTATTGCCAAATATACAAGGTTAGTAGTTCAAATTTTTACTGAAATATTGTAGCTCCAAAGTCATACATTTAAGGTAAATTTTAAATTTTTCAAAATTATGCCAAGTCTGGCTTGTCAGTTTGTCATAGCAGAATTTCTTCAGGTAAATGGATTCTAGCCAACAACACTTGTAATTTTTCTGCCATTAACATTTGGCCTTCTCACCAATGGTGACAAGAATTTTTACTCCTAGCTGAGGCTCAAACTCTGCATGTGCTTCTTCTATCTGGATGCTCTGGCTACTGTTCCAGTGTCATGGCTGATAAAACAGACAAAAACTTTCTTCTGCCTCTTGGTTTCAAGTTCTTTATAATTGTGGGCTCTGGAGCTTAAGTTGTTGACCTACTTGTTGGTAGCAAAAATTTCAATGTTAATTACAATTTAGGTTTGAACTTCCCCACTGAAGAAACAAAACAGTTGTGCTTTCATTGCAGATTCAATATTTTACTTGTGTGCCATAAATGTTATTTATTATGAGAACAAAATTTGAATGTGAATTGAACATCAATTCCTTAATAGCATCACTATTTAACCCAAATTAATTCCATTTATTGTAGTTGGATGAAGATGAATTTGTTGCTCACTAGTTGATGCCAGCTGTAATTTTCTAGGATTTGATATCAATTTTTAGTACTTTCAACATTCAAGGAAAATATGAAGATCACTGTGAAAAAGTTGCAGGGTGGGGAGTGCAACATTGAGGTAATCTTTGCTGTGTGTCTAGTTGCTTCTAAAAAACTGTTTAGTTTGAAAGACTACTGTCGAAACTGTTAATTTTGAATGATTATATGTATTTAACCGACCATCATGGGTCTATTTGCTAAGATTTTACAAATTATTTTATTTTTTCTCATGAATATTGTTCACTATTACATTTATATATAGTTGATAAAATTATTAAAAGTTCATTATTTCATACATGTTTATTTCTAGAAGCTAGATCTGTTGATTGTCTTGCATTGTTTAAAATAATTATAGTTGATCAATAATGGGTAATCCTGGTTCATTGCTGATGAAGATCAAAGCTTCATCATCCATTTTATGTGCTGTACTAGAGATTTTTGTGTTTAACAGGTTAGGGGCGACATGCTTGTCTCAGAATTGAAAGGCAGCTTAGAAGGGCTTCTGGGTGTGCCCCCATCTGCTCAAACTCTGGTGCTTGCAGGCAAAACTTTGACAGGTCAAGTGGCTAATCTCATCTTTACTTATTTGTGTTGTGTATATACCAATTTTTTATTATTTACTCAATACGCATTACAGTATACACATTCTAGTTCAGATCCTAGGAGTGGATTTTTAATCTTAGGTGTGGAATTTAGCTTTGAAAATCCAAAATTTATTATTTTCAAGGTTTTCCAAGTGTGTTGTAGTAATTGATAGTGCTATTTATTTTGCCCTGCATTTCTTTGAAAACGTTGAAACCTTATTTTAATAGCCATTCCCTTAAAATGATTTTTGGTTAATTCACAAGAATTTATTACCTGAATAATCACTGTGTAGGTACTGTTTTGTATATGCCCATTGTAAGTGATAGTGTTTTATTAAATTCCCATTGTACTGATACCAGTGAGTGTGTAATTATATCCCAATTGTACAGATTGTGTGTAATTACCCAATCGTACAGATAGCACAAGCATGGAGGCTGCGGGGGTGAAGGAAGGCTCCAAGCTTCACCTCATGACACGTCGGACTGACACGGCTCACAAAAATATGGTCAGAATTGTAGATTTCTTATATTACTCCAATTTAATAATGAAGAAGGCCTTCAATCTGTAGCCGTAGCTTCATTGTTTGGAACAATTTTTTCAACCTCCAAATAGGAATCTGCTATATTTCAGACTTTTTATAGTTTAATGACAAAATGTTGGAGCTAGGCTGTGAGGTGTTGCTAAGAAGTTCGTAGTTATTATATAAATATGTGAATGGTGTGGAAGAAATGCTAGCGTTCTTAATTATTACAATTTCTGAGTTTATTTCGATAAATTGGAATGGTTCATAAAGTTTAAACAATTTACACACATTTTACATGCACCTATATACACTTTTCATAATTAAATATCAGCTACACAATTGGTTTTTCATAAAATATCCACCATTCTCGACTCATTTACCACAAAATTTTCCTTCATATTCATACTTCAGTTTTATTGGTTTCTTATATACTTTGTATGCTTCTTTACTGTTTCACACTCATCTCCATACATTCATATTTTTCATCTGTTTCAGGATAAAAACCGTTTTACGCCGGTTGCTTAAATTATACACTGATTATTTCATTGCAGACTAACTATATGAATCAAGTTGTAAGAATATTAACATGATTCAAAATTTTCTATTCTGATGTCGTTTTTTATAGGCAATTAGCATAGTAGATATTAATGGAAAATGGAAATAATATATTTGCTCCTGATCGGCTGACCAGATTGCATTCATCTGCTCCTTCGAAAAGAGTACAAATTCCTGTTTTATACCAAAGCCAGACCTACTTTAACTTGCTATCTTTGAGACCACGAGGTATAGTCTGTAGGGGGTATAGTCTGTAGTCAATCAAATAAATCAATTTTGTATTCCATTTGAAGTTAAATTCAACTAAAACAATCAATTTTTTTTTATTTGAAAACCGGGGTTATAAGCATTTTAGTATCAATATGATTTCGATCATGTTTCACTTATAGTACAAAATTTTATTTCAAAATGATTAGGATAGAAAGGGAGACAACTGAACGTTTCCTCGTGTTACCATGGAGCTGTATAATTTTATAAAATGGTTGAATTCTCACTATTAAATGTAAATATGACATTAAACAAAATTCTATCAACACTAACTATGTAATCATCCATTCCATGAAACGTCAGGTTTACGTAGATAGATTTTTATGTTATGTAAGGCTTATCACTTCCTAACAGTAATGATGGTCAATAATAATAATCAATTTAATCAGTAATAATCATTGACTTGAGAACATAGTCCATAAGAAAATAGCAGGTAATGAAGTGTACCATTATTTAATAAGTTAGTAATTCGGGATTTTTAACAGTGAAGGCAATACAAGTCGAGATGGCCATTACTTGAGCTAAGCTTGTTCCTTGCAGACCAATGGAAGGACCGTGAGCGACGCCTCATCAGACGAGCTGTTCACATCTCTCTCCAAGATTCTCAATAAACATGTCAGCCCCCAACAGAGCGCCAAAATACTTGAAGAGTTTAAAAAAGTCAGTTACTAATTATACATGTCATGTCAATATTATATTGAATTTAGGGTTCAATTTTGAAATCTTCAAACATATTTCCAGAAGCATCACTATAAAGCTCAAAGATGTAGTTAAGCGACGCATAATGTAATTGTCTCTTTTTCAGAAATGTGCCGAGATGAGTAGCAGTATGAACCTAGAAGATATTCAAAAATTTGTCAATAGCGATTTCACCGAATTTTGAGTCTACGCAATCACGCAATCCTGTGCGCGAACCACGATCCTCAAGTCCCACGAAGCTGATTGATTATGAGTTTGATTTAATTTATACTTAGGAATAAAGTTCATTTACGTGATATTGAGATTTATTAATTTAACATTAAGGGCGAGCAATTATAAAAATATTAACGGAATGTTAATTTATGCATAAAGCTATTTCGCGTACTTATCGTACGCGTGCTATATTAACGCGAGAGCCCCGGAGATAACGAGCAATACGGCCGATGCGTAAGTCGTAGCAGCGCCAGAACGCAGCGGTAACGCAACAATATCCGACTGCTCGTTTAGGATGTGGATCTTCCAGCCCATATTCTTGCCCGTCCAGCTATTGTAGTAGACCGTTGCTGGCCACGATTTGTTCGGCATTATCTTCAGATCGCGTGGTCCACCCTCTGAAAAAGACTTGGTCTTTACTCATGTTGCTGGCAGCTAGCGTTACTCGGTATAAATATCCTCTGACATTCAAGAACCTCTATGTTCCTTATTGTGTTGTCCATTATTTCGTCGGCACATAATCATTTCAATGATTTTTCAAGTAAAGTAGGCTTAATCAATGAACGCCACGTTCGTATCGACGTTCATAAATAAACACAAGTGAAGCTTAACTTTTTTTTTCTTGATGAATAAATTCTTCAAATAGGAAATGATGTTATTCAAAAATTAATCCTATAATTTCCTTACTCCAGTTTTTCGATTTCCTTGTTAGTCCACTTTTATCAAACTTCATCCAGGTAATATCTCGGCCCGACTGATATTGTAGTTTTAGGCTCCAATAACTACTTCATATTAACATGAGCTTGAAAATATTTAGTGGATAATGAACCTTAGGCGAAACGTGTATAACAGATGAGTTATGCTCTTCCCATTGATTGTTTGTTTCCAGGAATTCCAGAAATAATTCTGATCTTATATCTGATTGAAATACTGATAATGATTAGTATTGAAAGTATGAAAGTATCACAATCCCATACATGGATTACAATCTGGTAAGGTAACATAATGTGCTTGGTCTACATCGCAAGTCCGTACTATGTCGGTCGAACAAACCATGAATTTCAAGACGGTATGTACAAGATATATTTCCTCACCACTTTCACACTGAAGGTTGAGCTCGTTCCTGTACTCTGGGAACGTCGGAACATCAGCATCTCGCCTGCGGTCCAGGTTGCTGGGATGCTTCCATTCACACAGGCGACCTCCTGCTTCGACATTGTTTCTTAAACATTCATTGCTTTTGAATAATTCAGGCAGTTAGGCCTGTATTGCGATTTAAAGTAGAATACAAGCAGAAATGAATTCGCTGAGATTACCATGAGAATTTCATCTGTTTACAATGATGACATAATTTTGAAAAGGTTCGTACAAACAAATAAATGAGGTACAGGAATTCGAAAAGTTCAATGACATATCATGATTATGAAAATAACTCCAATTATAAATTTATATGAAAGGAAGTCTTTGAAAAAGCAAATGAATAAAAAAATAAATGTCATCTGGTATAGTTTAGGTAGAACAGGAGCCTGACTCTCACCTCGCATGGGGCGAATGTCGCCACGTTGTGTGTAGTCCACACCCGCCAACACGCGCACCTGAGACTTCTGTGCCTCGCTTAGCTGTGAGAATCCTCCGTGTGGCTCGTCTGTCAACATTACGTCTCATTAATTTTACGTTAATCCACCCCGGCCTGCACGCGTACCTCGGCTCTCTGTGCCTCGCTCAGCTGCTAGAAGCCCTTGTGTGGCTCGTTTATTACATGGAGGAGGGATCAGTACCAAGAAATACGGTGAAAATTAGATAAAAAAACGTGCCCCTACCTCCTATTTTACAACGGAACTGTAGCGAGTACTATGGTGTACAAAACTCTTGAAAAATGTAAATATCTCGGACAAATTACGGTGTTTTCCATTACGATAGAACGGTGCACCAAACGAAAAGCGTGGTTAATACCGAACGAGAAGCGTGGTTAATATAAGCCTGAGGTTTGAAAGAAAGAAGAAAAATATAGAAATGATGTAAAGTTGATGTTCTCAAAATTGTAATAGAAATCTTAATAACTTAAATCTATTTTTATTTGCTCAAAACGACACCAGATGTTTATTTGACACCAGAAAAACAAAGCTAGAGCCCAACTCGTGTCGACTAAACAACGTGACGTCAGTCGCGAAATTATTCTAACATCGCGACAAGAAAATTGTAATCTTCTCCGGGAAACTAAAGAAATACTATCATATCTAAACATGGCTAGTATACTCCTCTATTTACGAAGGTGTATTAGTAAGTTCGGCTAGCAATTAGGACAAAATTAGACCTAAAGCTACCAGTGATGATGAGGGGGTGGTAGGTGGCAGGGTCGTGGGGGGAGGCGCCACCTTCCACCTTGAAGGTGTACTCAGTATTGCGCCTCAGGTACAACTCAGGGGCCAGGAACCCGTTGATGTACCAACCCTTGCCCGTCAGTGCAGGTTCTGCACAACAGTTGAAGCATTACAAAAAAATCCACATCTGAAAAGTTGTATAATTTGTTTCACTATCGAAGAGAAGAATTTGCTTTATGTTAGAGACGGCGAGTCATCAAAGGTAGAAAGGATTTTTAAACGTGTATTGGTCATCTTGCAGTCTCCCTTGATAGCATAGATATCAACGTTGTATTTTATCTGGTCCTCTGCCGATGCTAGCTTGGTATCTTTTGATCAGAATAACAAATTCTCCAAGCAATGTAGTGACTTTCTAGAAGATTATGAACTGTTCAAAAAGTCCAATTGATTAAAATAATTGAAACATACTTCCTCTAAGGATGAGAACTTCAAATTCTCCAAGCTAATCCTAGTTAACTTGTACAGAATTTTTGTAAGAACTAACGTCCCGTGATGGCCGCGTAGCCGCGAGGGCCGCCGTCGGGGCCAAGCCGCGCCGTGAACTCCACGGTGCTGGCGTCGGTGAGCTTCACGGCCTCCCATGCAGTGCTGCAAGGCAGTCACGTCACAGATTTAGAAGCTTTGCCGCAAAGTGACTTTTTCCGAAATTTTTTTGGTTCACGATTTGTGTTCAATAATGTTCAATAGTGGCTATTGAACACTATTCAATTGAGTTCAATAGCACGGCTCATACACAATAACATAAGAACCTTGTAATATTTGCAGAAACTTTATAATAACCTTATAACCTTAGATCCAGACAAAAACGATGTTAAGCACAGACATTGCCACGGAGGTGCATAAATTGTGTTTAACCTTTATCTTTTAAAATTGCAACGTACTAAATTTCAAGAAAGAGGCGTATGTCTGTGGGGGGCGCTAGAAATTCACTAGGGAGCCGAAGAGGGCGCCAGCCTGAAAAAGTTTGGGAACCACTGCAGTAGAACCATCGTTATCGGGCATGCATCGTTAAATTTATTAGCTAATTTTCTTATCGCTTTGTATTTATCTACATTTATATTATTTAGAAAAAAATGTGTGACCAGGTTATGCTCATTAGGGTTCAGCGTGTCTGTGTTTCGTTCAGCTTATTAAAACGCGTTTCAAGCGACTGAATTCTTCCTATTGACACAGCGGAAGAAATATGCACCGCTTGGGTATCTGAATTGTCAAAAAAGTTCTCGACTCATATTTTGAGTCCTTGATTCGTTTACATCCTAGCTAGCAATTTTTATTTTTGATAAAGCATTTCCTTATTACTATAGTTCATGTTTTTAGCTAAAAATACGAGTCGTTTGCTTCGCAGTGAAGGAATTCGCACTAACTCTTGGACTAGCCTACTCATCACTCACATTTTCTTGTTGAGGTCGTGCGTGAAGGAGAAGCAATTGCGTGATGGCACGCGGCCGAGGTCTAGCGGTTGCGCCACCTGAAAGTACCGTCAGAAGAAAAAGTGGTGGACACTTTTTCTGAGGATACATTGACCGTCATCAAGGCTGTTCGTCATTAAATTCCAGATACCGTCATTAGAATAAGGCTTTACAGCACAGTTCGGTAAGTGCACACTTCCCGTAGCGTCGTTCAAGTGGATATTTGGCTGCACTTGATTCACCTAATTTAATCACTGGATATTTTAAGAAAATCACTATTATTTTAAGTGATTTTAATCAGTGAATTTAATCACAAATTCGCTTAATTTACATGTTGAAAATATAACGAACGTGTCACAAAAGCGCACTGTTGGGGCCAACAACCCACCTTGGACCAGGCCCTGTGCATCGTGGGGCGGCGGGCCGCATCCAGGCGCCCTATGGCCCAGATGATCATGTTGGGGCCCTTGGCTTCGTACGGGATGTCCCCATCGTCCGCTGTGATAAGTTCATAAAATTAATCGACTGGAGCTTGGCATTGCAGTCATACAATATCAAGTAATACATGTAATGCAATATCAAGTAATAGCAAGTAATTGTTTAGAATAAAAAAAATAAATAAATATGCATTAAGCTATCATTATAATATTAATAAAAGTTTTGATAGCATGAAATGTATCGAAGATTTGAAAGCATTAGATGCTTCGAGGTTCATAGATCATAAAAAGTGTCGAAGTTTCGAAAGCATCAAATGCATCGATGTTTAGAAAGCATGAAACATAATTGATCTTTATAAAGCATGAAACATAATTGATCTTTATAAAGCATGAAATGTATCGTAATTAGTTGTAAAAGCATCACCAGTCTGGAGACGACGTCGATAAGTAAAGACAGAGACGCCATCGTCACGGGAGCTCGTCATGAGCTGGTAGTCCTGTATACCGCCCACCTCGTCGTCCAGACACACGCCCTTCTTCTGGTTCAGCAACTCCGTGCACTGAATCATTCACATTTACCAGGTGAACATATATATGTTGTGTAAAAATACATTCATGCAGACTGTAGTGCCGAATAAATTAGTATATTCTGTAATGATACGAGTTCATTCATGGAGACTGTAAAACTGTGTAAATAGATAGATTGTATAATAATATATTCATGGAGACTGTTAAAAATCACAATTCATCTCTATGTTAGGCAGTCATAAAAAAAAAGAGATTTCGCACGGAGATTTCGCAATTATTTTAAAATAAGAACTAAAATAGTGACAGAAATATTAGTTTTACTAGTTTTAAATAAATGAACCAAAAAATTAAACTCTTAATCACAAAATTGTCAATAAATGTTGAATAAATCGTAACTTGCAATTTCAAACAAATAATATTATATCAATGCCGAAAAAAGACAAAAAATATACGATGTTCATGAATGGGATTCATTGACTGACGGGGAAGTAAGGTGTTATGTTGATGTCGTTGGCTACGCCAACGACATTATTATTGGAAGCAACTATTGTTATATTAATACTGAATAAGTGACAAGAAGAATATATGATAATAGACTTGGTGGCATTGATTAACGTACAGGGAAGTAAGATGTGATGTTGATGTCGTAGGCGTAGCCCAGGAAGCAACTATTGGTATATTGATACCGATACAGTGACAAGAATATATTATAATAGACTTAGTGGCATTAATTAACGTACAGGGAAGTAAGATGTGATGTTGATGTCGTTGGCGTAGCCCAGGAAGTCGTCTCTGTGCAGCAGTACCGCGTCTCCGCCCACCATCTCGGGGCGGTCAGGGTTGCCGCTCATGCCGAACGCCACGTATTCCTCCAGCTCTGGGACAAGCATCTCGAGTAATAAAAGTAATAAAGGTAATAGTAACAACAGTAATAACACTATTAATGACAATAGTGGTAATAGTAATGATAGTATTAATAGTTATAGCTGTGTCGACTTTGAGTAAGCCAAATCAGGCCTGTCGAGGATTATGGACATCGTAGAATCTTTCCACCTTACTAGAGTTTCAATCCCGCAACTCACAGCTCCAGTCCAGGTACTCTGAACTGCAACCACAGAGCCATACTGTCACGAGGTGAAAAAAGCATGGTTCCACTCCCACGTCATCATATGAGTATCAATATACTTGGGCATAAATCGTCATATGAGTATCATCATACTAGAGAAAGATTTATTGATAAAAAGTCCTAATTCATTGAATTGAGACAGATGATAAAAATAATCTATAAGGATTATTCTCTTCTTCAATAGAAAACCTGCATTGAAAACATTAAAAGTATAAGCTAAAATGAGTGTTGTACATCGTGTCAGGACTGACCCACTTATCGTGTCAGGACTGACCCGCTTATCGTGTCAGGACTGACCCACTTATCGTGTCAGGACTGACCCACTTATCGTGTCAGGACTGACCCATACGTGCGGCGACCTCGACGGTGACCTGGTCGCCGAAGACCGACCAGGAGATCTGCAGGTCGCGGTGCAGCTGCTCGCACTGCGGCATCGCGCTCGTGTGAGGCTGACAATGGAAAAAAGATTCTTGTTCATATAAAATGCTCCAATAAACGTGTAATTCCATGACTTTTAAAGAGCTACTTTTATTAAAAATTGACAACGAAAAAAGATTCGTGTTCATATTAAAGGCTCAAATAAACGTGTAATTCCATGACTCTTGGAGCTACTTATAGTTAAAAATGCGTAGGAAGTTTGGAAACTGGAATGATAAGAAGCAAACATATGTGCAGTGTTATTTATGTTTGTTTGAATATATTTTTATTGCGCATTTTATATTTAAATAGCACGTACCGGTACTGATTTAGGACATTTGAAAATAAAAATAAAATGTTGTTGGCATAAAATGACGCTCACGTTGCAGACCAATGCCCGTTAATCGACTTAAAGCAATGTCATCATGTTATTTCGAAGAAACCTCTAGAAAGAACATTGGAATTATTAGAACCATATTTAGAACGAATATATAATGATATGTGGACAACCTTCATACAATGGACATCGTCTTAGGCAATTTTGGAATCAACTGCTGTTGTGGCTATTAAGGGGACCCATCACCCTCCGTAAAAACTTCTACAGTTACTATCCGATCATCGTGAAACTTCACATACACACGTAAAATGTTTAAAAAATAACATTTTGCTCCTATGAATTTTTCGAAAAAATTGATAGAAAACGTGATATTCATAGAAAACGGCAAAAAAACGGGTACTATAGAAAATCTATCTCCTCCTACAAATATCGTCCTACAACATCAAGACACGTATCATTCGATTCGTAAAGACCATACCCATCGACTCTGCCATCCCTTTTTTTCATTTTCCCCATAGTTTTTTTATGCGCGTTTTCCCCATTTTTCCACTTTTTCCCTGCCCTTCCCCCCTTTTCCCCCATATATAAGACGAACCATGCACAAATTCAAAAAAAGGGATGGCTAAATCGATAGGTATGGTCTTTACGAATCGGATGATATGACTCTCATTGTTGTAGCTTGAAAACTGTAGGAGGAGATCGGTTTGCCGTGAGAGCAATAGGAGGTTTACACCTGGCCCAAAAGACTGCCGCGCGGCACGTAAAGGGACGTAAAAGAGTCGTAACGTAGCCTAGATACCGTAATTAAGCCTCAAACCAAGTCAGCGAGGCATAGAGCGACTGGCTGCATACCTCTCACCTCGCTGTCATGATGGACACTGAATGCTCTGGCTGCAGCAGGCTATATTTAAAGCCCTGCTCTCGAATTACGCCTATAGGAATTACTGAAGGCCGCCCACCACCGCCCCCCATTCCACGGTTAGTCGTGAACGTCAAAATGCAGCTAGAAAGATGGTTCTGGTACCGTTCGACGCATCAGAAAGTAAGCTTTAAGATGAGTATAAGCACCGGATAATGCCATAATTAGACGCTTTACGTCAGACGTTCCTTTTTAGTGTGTCCAGCCTTCGAATTAATCCCATAGACTTTACTGAAGGGCCCTCGAAACCGCCCCCCTTTAGGGAGCTGTCACGAAATTATTTTTCGACGTAGAGAGATGATTCTGGTACCGTTCGATGCGTCAGAAAGTAAGCTTTAAGATGAGCACAAAAACCGAAAAACGTCAAAATTGAAAATTTAGGGGTGATGGGTCCCCTTAAAATAGACAAGAATTATATAGTACCAGAATAATATACCCGATCAGGAAAACATCAAACTATGGAGACTTTACACAACAAACAAAGCCAAGAGGTAACTAGGAACTTCCACCTCCCTCTTCTGCCATGAAAGCTGCTGAACTGACATAGACCCTCAATTAGTTATTTAGTCTAGTAGCCAAATGTTTACTAGCGCTTCAGCTATTTAGCTATCTCGCACCGAAATTCAGGATGAACATCACCAAAGAGGTGGAAGGTCTCAGTTATCGAAAGTTTTTTTTTAAATCAAAAATCATATATTGTCGAACATATCTATCGCCCGTAGGTTTTCTATGAGTCGGTCGACATTATAATGGCCGTGTTGTGGTTGGGCCAAGATACTTTTTAGGTGTGTTGTGTTTATTCCGACATAGGTGAGGGAAGAACTGCCGTCGGGCATCACTAAAAGACGGGCACTCACAAAGGAAAGGTCACGGTCTGGGGCGACATAGACCCTCAGACTTATTCCCCAATAACAACTGAAGAAGATGTTCCCCGGTCTTGCATGCTAACAACTTACGAAGATGTATGCTTACAACTGACGAAGACGTATGATAGCAACTGACGGTGATATGGACGAGGGAGGGCGGGACGTTGAGGTCGTCGTGCAGGATGACAGAGCCGAGGACGTCGTTCCTCTTGACGTCGTAGACGGCGAGCCAGTTGACGGTCTGCACGGACAGGTCTCCTGGCAACGTCAGCACGATGTTGGCCCGGTGATACCGGCCCAGGGGCGTCAAGCTGCACGTTATTAACTTCATTTTAATACATACAAAACCATCAACATTTTGTCTGCATTAAAATTTTTTTAGTATCGAGATTTCAAAAAGATAAAGTAATTTTTAGAAGATTGAAGAGATTTTAAAGATAATGAAGTGCAAATAAAGCTTATAGTACATCCGTCATCTTTGCATATTTAGATAGCAAGTTTGTAGTCCCGTAGTTCAAAGTTTCAAACATGTTTAGAAAGATAAGAAATCTGCGAAAAATTACAAGAAATTAAAACTCACTAGCCGAGTTCATCTGGAATTTTATTGCCTTTGGAGTGTGGCTGTGGCCCAACGCCGACCCAGAAGTACGCTTCTTCCCCGCTGCCGTCGTATTCAAAATCTACAATGATTAAATGAATAATAAATAATATACATCTTCAATTTGCATCACAATATCCTGACACAAGGATAACACAACGCTACATGTTATTTGCTTCAAATACGTTACTTATTAGTTGCATGTACGAAACAATATCTAGTAACTCTACACTTGGTGATTCAAACAGGCTACGTATACTAATAGTTGAAATAAAAGAAGCAATAACAAATAAACACACTACAGAAGTAGCACCTACAAGTACAAAAGTAGTATGCACTGGTATTCAATAGTTTTCGAGATAACAACATAGTTAACAAAGTAATTAGTGAATATAATTATCAGGTTATTCGCTATCGTTGTTATCAGAATTATCTGTTTTTTGTTATTATCAGGATAATTCACTATGACGAGAGTCACGATAATTTAATACCTATCATAATTCTCGGGATAATTTGTCATCATAATCATCATGATTATTTGCCATTAAATATTCAATCATCAGGGCAATTTCTGCAGTTAAAACTCACTGTCAATTTTGATGGTTTTCGAGTCGAGGATAACAACAGGCTCGGAGTTGACGTGTCCAGTCTTGCCCGTCAGACGGTTTAGCCTCAGCCGTTGGGGAGGTTCGAACCCTTCGGGGATGTAAAGATCCCCAAAAGGTTCCTGAAATTCCAGTGGATTTTATTAAAATCACAGCAGTTTTTACAAATTTTTTTAATTATTAATTCACGACAGGATTTAAGGTACTGAATTGGCACCATGAAAGCATGAAAATTGGACGGTGAATTACTCAAAGCATTGTAATTTGATATGAAAATAGCTCCCGTTTTAGGTATGTCAGAGTACAAATAATTCAATCACTAAATAACTGAATAATATTAGCACAGAAGACAACACTAGGCCATAAATAACGAATTGAATGTAATATCATAACACATGTATAAATAAAAAATTTAAATTAAAAAAAAACACGATGTTTGATTCAACAGATAACGTGGGTATAAATAGAAAATTGTGAATTTATTCACATGTCTGGTGAGGTCGTATACGGAGAGCCAACGGATGTCGCGGATGGTCTTAGCGTCAGGCAGGGTGATGGTGATGTCTTCGTTGTGGTATTGACGCAACACGTTCGTCCTGGTCAAGCAAACGACATTCAGAATAATATAAACTACATCAACTAATAAATTCATAATTTAATTTGTCATTATGTCAAAACACTGACGCACTTTCTTGTCCTCAGTCCGAGCAGATAAAGGACATAAGGATATACTCCCTGATAGCATCTTTGACGCTCCGAGTATGAACGCCTTCAAGAACAGACTAGACGAAGCTATGCAAGAGCATATAGAATAGAAGTGTCGGCCCCTAAGATATGGGCCCATGGCCTGTTGCCAATTTTTGAATTTTTCGTGACTTGATTCACAAGGGATCCGGGGCATACTTTCAAAAAAAGTTGAGATCGTAAGTTCATCTGCCAATCATTGACGGCCTTTCAAGCAAAATCCACCAATCACAGACAAGAAAATAGAGCGTAAGTACTTACGTTCATTTAGCGAATTTTGAAAGTATGGCCCCAGGCCTTTGGAACCCGATCTTTCCATAACTGACGATTGATTGTGATAGCTGCTGGACTTATTGCCTGGTCCGTAATTTGCTAGTCATTTTAAGACTGAACATATGCTCCTGCATAGCTTCGTCTAGTCTGTTCTTGAAGGCGTTCATACTCGGAGCGTCAACGATGCTATCAGGGCTGTCTCTTATACACATCTAGATGTGTATAAGAGACAGGAGTTGCTGGTAGAGGCGGGACGTAAACAGAGTTGCTGATAGAGGCGGGACGTAAACAGAGTTGCTGGTAGAGGCGGGACGTAAACAGAGTTGCTGGTGCGAGAACAGAATCATTGCTGTGGTGCACTCAGTAACAGGAGATATGCTTTCTCGATATACGAATTTATTAAATTGGGTCCATCATTTTGAACAATTCTGAATAATATTAATTAAACATTATTAAAGATAACGAGTTCCAGTTTAACTAACCGTCAAATAAACAGAAAGGTAACTTTGTCAAAATATCCTTAAAATTATTTGTATGCTCTTTAAACCGTTATCGGAAACGACCCAAGGCCATTCATACTGAAAAACTGTATCAAGTGAAATATCTTAGTTTGACTAGTGTGAACACATGTCAACCTCAGAAAAGAAACTAAAAAAAGATAAAAATTATTATGGAATGGTCAAGAACAATCTGTGCATGATTAAAAAATCCCAAATGCATTACGTATAATCTAAAATAATTTAACATCATTACGAATACACATCTCCTCCAGCTGGTTCTTCACCGCGGCATGTCTTATTCACCACCAGTTCATGACGAGAAAAATGTTGTAGTCACTCAACTGTTTTTGAAAGTATAGCACCAGAAAAAATGTTGTAGGCACTTTACTTTTTCTGAAAGTATAGCACCATAAAAAATGTGGTAGTCACTTAACTTTTTTTGAAAGTATAGCACCAGAAAAAATATTGTAGTCACTTAACTTTTTTTGAAAGTATAGCACCAGAAAAAATGTTGCAGTCACCCAGAAAGAGAGCACTCCCCTCCCGATCTCGTTAGGCACGATGAAGCCCTGAGGCCCAGGACGCGGCCGACTTCCCGCCCAGAAGAAGGTGTCTTTCCCGTTGCCGTCGTACATGAACTTGCGGATGTGGAACGAGTGCTGGTTCACGGCGTACACCTCGCCACCGACCTTTTAAATAACAGCAAATATTTGCTTCGTTTTTTTATTACCATCATGTTCTGGCTCGCATCTTTATCATCGAGTTCTGGCTCGCTTCTTTATCATCATGTTCTGGCTCGCTTTTCTGCATATATGCAGAAAATGATCCGTTAAAAGTGTACGGCTAAGCTCAGCGATAAAACCATCTATCTCATAAAGAATTAAATTTGTGTTTCAACCGTTCAAAATTAAAATTACGAGAGATTTTAATCTTAATTTTTACTAAGGAAAAGAGATTACAAAATTATTCCAGGAGAATCGTAATTGGCTAGCCATGCGGAGAAGATTTTTAAGAAGAAGTTTAATTGAATGCATCTGAATTAACCGAATAATAAGACGATACCTGATGATGGTAGCTGTTGAATTCACCAAGAAACTTGCCGAGATAAGTTTCTTCATCTCCCTGCCCAATCACACCTCCTGTAAAGCATGAAAATGTTGCATTTTGTTTACAAGTGATTAAATAGAATTAAATTTCATAACCGTGCATGGATTAGTAGCAAAATAAGCTAATAACTAATTGGCTTTTAACGGTCATTACTGCGCAGGGGACAGCTTTCCCTTCCCCCCTCCTAATTAAACCCTTAAGAATGGGTTAAATTCCGATTATTCATACTAATATACTTCCTAATGGACACGTTATCATATACCTCTTGATCGAATAAGTTGGATAATCTAGATAGTCTCAATCAATTATTGTCATTAAGATTGTTATCTCGCATTGGGAAAATAAAAAACGGCAACTGATTTCTAAAACTAAAAGTTCAACACAAAACATCCATATTAGCGTTCAACACAAAATATCCATTTAACGTTCAACACAAAATATCTTTATTAACGTTCAACACAAAACATCCATTTAACGTTCAACACAAAATATCTTTATTAACGTTCAACACAAAATATCTGTATTAACGTTCAACACAAAACATCCATATTAACGTTCAGCACAAAATGTCAATATTAACGTTCAACATACAAAAGAAGAGCAATAATCCGTATTAACGTTCCTATGTTGGAATAAACCTCATTAGAATTAAATTGTTGAATATTAGCCCTTGCAGTGTATCGTTTCTCGTCATTTTTATAATTCAATTATAAAATTCTACTACTTTCGTGAATGTACATAAATATATGAAAAAAGCGTTCAAGATTCATTCTTAATGAGCGGTGTGGGCCTGTTGAGTTTTTCTGATTATGCATTTTTAATAAAAAAGAAACAAGTTTTCAGTGAGTTAACAGCCATCAACGGCAACGAATGCTTGGAGACTGCAACGGTCTATGGATAATGATCCGGGCTAGAATGACTTCCTAGCAAGCTGCAGCACCGCTTAAAACAAGATTTCGACGCAAGAAATAATAACGTTGAGTGTTTGATTTACGATTTAAACCAGCCGCGTTTAAATCCAACCCATTATTAAAATGGACTAAATCATGACAAGCAGGAGCTGGCTCATGATGCGAGCTACTCGCAATTACGCAAATCCCAGCCTCGACCTTTATACGGCCATGTCCGACAGAAAGAAAAAAAGATCAGCAGGCCTGACGAAGACACTAAATATATTAGAATGCACAAGCAAGGGTTCCGAATGACCTTCAAGAGATTTACTTATGTTGATTAGGAATAAAATTAATCAAATAACGATATTCTCAATAGGAAAAGTTGAGACACGTTTAAAAGTGAATACAAACGCAGATATAATGTGATCTTCTCAATAAGAATAGCTGAGACACGTTTCAAAGAGGATACGAAAAGTGGTAATTACATGACTCAATATAATAAAAATATTTTCGCGCAGGTATAACAGACGTGCTGAATGGGCTAAACTTCAACGAGACCAGTAAACGACCGAATGTTCAAAAAATATCTATCAAGGCAGCAAACGGGGGAAGGTAAGCGTTCGGGGGAAGGTAAGCGTTCAACCTTTCGAGTCATCCGCGATGACGTCATCGGACGGTAGCGAACGCAACGTCCGATGACGATGAGAGTCTATCACTCTATGCAACGTATGGCATGATGAGCCTTACGTAAATCAGGTATATTTTGTACTGGACGTTTAACCAACGTCTCTTCTAATTTGCAGCCCCTTTAGAAACGTACGTACGCAACGTTTTATAGTGATTTATGACTGTACTTTTTTTTAGTCTTTCAGAGAATGTAATTAAAATTGAGCCTTTCGAATGGCAGAATATCAATTTTTATAGTCAATTATTTGGATAGTAAGAGTCAAACACCAAGACAAGAGAGCCTGAGATCTAGAACCAGGTCAGTTTACCCTAAACCCGAATGCTAAAGCGGGCGGCGGCTTTATTAATTAAGCAGCACATGACATAGAATTTGTTTTACTGTTGCTTCTATTCTAGTTTATATCCTGATATTGGTTAACATCATATACACATTCGAAAATTCAATACAGAAAAAAAGGCGCTTATTATAGCGTTAATAGCATTGGCAGCAGCAGCTCAAACTAAATTTTACTAACCGAGTTAGAGTGATCAAAAGAAGTTAGGTACCGAAGAAGCTCGTCCGACCACTTTCTCTAGTACAGCAAATTCTTTAAATTTTAATAAGGTATCAAACAAGATGCATTATGTTTAACTGTCATATTTCTTCTGACGCAAAGTTTCCGTCTTTCTCATTTTTAAAATCTTAGTATTGAGGGCCCTGAACTATTGCACTTGCATGGCTGAACGCAATTCGTTCCAAATTTAAGAAAGGTCGACAAAAAAGGTTCTACTTCGTCAGCAAGACTAAGAGTTCAATCCAATCATGTGTGCGAACGAAAATTTGTTAGTCTACAGAGTTACTTACCGAGCAACGAAAACACAATGCAAGTAATTACATGACGCAATCCCATTGCAATAAGATAAAAATTGGAAGAACTTGGAGGGAGTGCATAAAGAGTAAAATGAACAGGACATCACACTACACACGTACACACACCAGCACTGCGGCCGGCACACTGAAGTTCAAAAGTTGAACTTCCACTTAGTACCTACAGGTAGAATTCGTGGGAATACTTACAATAAATTATAATGATCAAAACCACGAACTAATTTCCAGCGGACATGTTATCGCACAGCTACTCGTAATTTTTCTAACTGTCAGTGACCAAATAACTGCAAAACTCGAAATGTTTGTGATTCGAAACATTAATAGCTAGCTTGGCTGTGGGGGAAAAGAGAGGACCATGAAACAATATTTGATTGTCATTTTCTAAATAAAATATATTTTGAATAAAAAAATATTCAATGAAATCAAGTGTAAATTCTAGTGAACTGAAAGGTTGACAATTGCACATATAAATGGGATACACACTAATAAGGAATGATCCAATAAATAATCAAAGAACATTCAGTTGAAGCAAGCAAGAATCAGCTTTTGGACGATTCATGAACATTCTCTTGGTAAATTCAAGTCTCTTAATGATCGAAAAGCAAAGCTATTCACTCGTTAGTCTAAATGTTTAGTCCGTAGTCTGAAGGCCGTTCATCTGAAATGTTCTAGACGACACAATTGTTTCCGCATGTCTAGCGTGGCGACGATCGCTACTGTTGAGATCGGAAGGAGCTCTAGTACGATCAAGCGGTCTAATCAAAGCTTTAACTTTAAACGATCAAGCGGCTTAATCAAAGCTTTAACTTTAAGCGATCAAGAGGCTTAATCAAAGCTTTAACTACGATCAAGTTGCTTGCACAAAAGCTTGAGTCAAGCGATTAACGCGCTTTACAATCAACGTCGATCAGGCCTTCAATCTATTGGGCAAAATCTCACTTTCACTAGATATGGGATACACTTATTGTTTATTTGCTAATAGTTGTTTTTTGAGCTGATGTGTAGATTTTGGCGGTTAGCAACGGTTTCGACGACTACTTCCATCGATTAATTTTATTACTCAAATTTTCTATCAATCACCATCATGTCTCACTTAAAACGTCAAACGGGTTTATACATGGTCAATCACTCTTAAGTCAATCGATTGATTGACACTCACTTAACTTTCTGATCTCCAACATAATTCAAATCATATAAGCGAGAACCTAAGTTTTTAGTGTGCGATAACCAAATAATAACTTTGACATGAGGCTGCTTCTAAATTGCGAGAAAATGCGATTTAATTTTGCTTTAAAATGGACAGTTTTTATTGATGGCTGCGATATGAGTGCTGGAGCGGCTCAAGTGGCATCGACGTTATAAGTGAATTAGTTCTAAACATTTTAGTGGACTATATTTCATTTTTTAGTGATTTAAAAAAAACGCGTTAAGACTAATGTTCAAATAATTCTGAAATTGAAATCACACGTGAAGGAAAAAAAATTCCTAACAGAAAATTTCAACGTAAAATGTAGATAGAAGACGAGATGCCCGTATATGTATATTCGTTTTGGTGTTAACATTTCTTTTCAAGAAGGATCAGAAACCGTTTTGAGTTTTAGAATTTATTACATTTGTACAAATTCTGCTCAACAGACATAAAAAATTTGGCTTTATTCATGACGGGATCGCATGGTGAAACGACAAATTACATCACTTAGAAAAGTGTATAGGTCATATTGACCAAATAGTGATACTTTCTGCACACAGCACTGATAGTCCCCCTCCAGACGTAACTGGGTAAGGATGACCCACACAAATCGAAAAGAGCATCGATATTTGGACAGTCCCACTAATTTTTCCAAGTTGGACACCCCCTCAGCTACACTACCAGCGTCGTATTTTTTGCTAAACTATTCAACAAATCCACAATGCAGCAGCATTACATCTCATTCAATTATATATATTATAGGTTTAAAGTAAAGAGTCTTCGAGGAGGGTACAGAAAGAATATAGAAGAAGGCTCGTCAGTATTCAAAATAAGAAAATAGGTAACCCTGAACTAAATTTTGAGCCTTTCCCTTTGTACAAATACGAAGGAGTGAACTACACCGAAGGCAGCGCTTCTTTCAGCGGTGGCGTTCAATATCAAACAAAATATCAGCCGCTGTACTATCAAAACTCTCCTAAGTACACATAGCGGCTTAAGTACACGTACGGTAGCGCCAATTTCTCGTCTGTGATTGGAGGGTCTAGCTCGAAAAACCGTCAGTTATTGACTGACGGAGTTACGAACTTGTAAATATTTCTGATACTACGACCTCTGATGTTATTAGCTACGGGAAATCGCCCTCGACAGCAACAGTTCACTGTTAATAGTTAGCCGTAGATATTCTTCTAGCCAAAATAAAATATAATTCAGCAGCTTTGGGAGAATATTTGATAAAGTAACTGATTGTATTAACCCTTTCGCGACTAGCTGCCTTGCGAGTGCAATATACTACATTGAATCCATACCACATTGACCAAATTTATTTATTAAAAAAAACCTGAAAGGTGCAAAAAACTCCACCTGGACCTAGCGCAACCTGAAATTAAAGCTAATACGAGGGATCTTTAAAACTTCGTGAAAATGGCCATGACTTAAAATTATATCAAAAGAATACTATGTTGTTGCACAAAAACAATCGTGAACCAATGTTATATGACGTGTTATCACAAGAACCCTTAAATTAATGTTACAAACGGGGGCTCTGCTTTATCTGCAACAACCGTTCATGCAACATGGCATCTGCTGAAATCGAGGCCAGCTTCAACATCAAATTCATGGTGAAGTTTGGGTGGAAGAACAGCTAAATTATTGACTCTCTTGGACAAGTTTATGGTGACAGTGCCTCAAATAAATCATCAACCTACAAATTGATTAATCGTTTTAGAAGTGGAAGAAATGAGACCAAAGATGACCCCATGCAGAGGCGTCATCTGTGCGCCTGCAAAAAGAAGCGCACAGCAGTGGGTGGTGTTAATTAATTAGGTGATCCTACTACGGTCAGTAAGATCACCAGAAGAAGATCTAATGATCAGCAAGATCACCAGGAGAGAGTGATCTGCTCATCAGGATCAACGATAGGATCAAGATTCTGGGACTGACGTGGAGATCCTGAGCCCGTGCATGTCCTTGATCTGCTCGGCGAGCGCCTGCCCAGGCACCGCAGATATTCGATTAACCATTCTATAATTGCGATATTGATGATTATGATAAAATGATATTGATTATGTGATGATATGATATTTATTATGTTACTGATATTGATTATGATAATGATATTGTCATGTGATATTGAAATGATATTGATGATATTGATATCATCAAATGATAAATGATATTGATTATGTTACTTAGTTATTAATTATAATTTCAATTAATAGCATCGGTCCAAGCTTCAGATTGATTTGCATGAACAGTTAAATCTACTGAACTTAAAATCCCGGGGTAATCGGGAATTCTTATCAAGTTATCAAACATACATGCTCCAATAAGCTTGTAACAAATTAGTAACAAATTTTTACCAAAAATGCCTAATTTTTTTGAGAAAATAAAGCAACAGTACGAAATTAAAATAAATATCTGACCCGCACTTCTGACCCGCTTTGCGCGGGTCAGAAGTGCAGGAAACGACAAAATAAATTTTATAAGAAAATAAACTGACAGTTTCACCTATGCAATGAATCGTTATTGCTTTCTCTGTGAGAAGTTAAGAAAATAACTCTAGGGGATTTAAAGAAAAAAAAAATAATTGCCAGCCTCACCAATAATAATAGATGTAATAAATCTGTGTTGCTTCCTGTGTAAGAAGTTAAGAAAACACCTCTAGGGGATTTAATGATAATAAAAAATTAAGTGCCAACCTCACCTCTGTAATAATAATAGATGTAATAAATCTGTGTGCTTCCTGTGAGAGAAGTTAAGAAAACAACTCTAGGGGATTTAACGATAATACAAAATTAAGTGCCAGCCTCACCTCTGTAATAAGTCTGTGTGCTTCCTGTGTAAGAAGTTAAGAAAACAACGCTAGGGGATTTAAAGGAAATAAAAAATTAAGTGCCAGCCTCACCTCTGTAATAAGTCTGTGTTGCTTCACGCGACTCAGTCCTTGGAAGTCGGAAGATTCTACCCAGACTTCATACATTGACCCGCAGCCACCTGAGATGAACAAGTTATTAAACAGTATGAGAGAAAATATACTTAAGATATCCCTGGAATATAATTGAGGATTTATAATTTTTAATTTATGGACTTCATTTGATAACGTGAGTCGAAACAATGAACGATTTTCCAAGCTGAAATTCTTCTTGATTTCAATATATACTTTCACAATTATTACATCATTACAATTCAATAGTGAAATTCTCTCATAGTGTTACAATATTTACGATTCAACATCTCGACACCGAACAATATTTGAACATTTCGTTATTCATACATTACAACTGACGAAATTTGCACTGTGCGTAAGAGAACACACGCGTACCGTATACTTTGAAGTTCGGGTGTAAAAACTGCCTAAGGTCGAACTTTGCAAATAGAATTTCTGGTTACGCTTCGCGAGTCGAGAGAGAATTATCAAAAAATCAAATGACTATATGAGTTAATTGGGGATGAACCAGGTTGTAGATGAGTACTATTCTCGCTTGCATTACAAACTGCGATGACACGCACGACAAGCGACCGGGGCAGTGGCAGGACGTGTGACAAGTGAATTAAGGCAGGGGCAGAACATATGAGAAGTGGATAATGGCAGTGACAAAACGAATGTAATGCGACGAGCATTGACAAAACGTAGGATAAGTGAAGGACATTGAGAAATCGCATGACAAGTAACGGGCATTGACAAAACGTATGACAAGTGACGGACATTGAGAAAACTTGTGACAAGTGACGGGCATTGACAAATCTTACGATAAGTAACGGGCATCGATAAAACGTATGACAAGTGACAAGAGTAGTGGCAAACACATGGCAAGGGATTGGGGCAATGACAAGACACGGTAACTTTCGTTACCACGAATACGGATATTATTTGGTTTAAATAGTAATTTGCTGTAGGATATGATATGCAGTTTTTTAGAATTTTAGTGGGTCAGCAAGAGTGTGTGTCAGCAAGAGTATGTCAGCAAGAGTGTGTCAGCAAGAGTGTGTGTCAGCAAGAGTGTGTGTCAGCAAGAGTGTGTGTCAGCAAGAGTGTGTGTCAGCAAAAGTGGGTCAGCAAGAGTGTGTCACCGGAGATGTCCTGTACGCGGACGGCGGAGGCTGTAGGGAAGCGCGTCTTCAGAAGCTCCTCCAGCCGAGCCTCCCCAGCGTCGCTGTCGGTGCCGGAGCAACGTCTCTGCGAACACTGCTACAGGTAACATGGGGTATGGGTAACGTAGAAAAATACTTAAATTAAGAACAAGACAGGACACTTCATCGAAATTTAGTTAAACAGTAGCTAAATGAACTGGTACTTGTATAGTTTAGGACAGGAGTATGTGTGCACATCTGGGATCACGAGTGCCTCGTCTCAGCGAACACTGCTATAGGTAAGATGAACATGGAGTAGATATAAAGTAGAAAAAATACTTAAATTAAGAACAAGACAAGGCACTTGATCGAAATTTAGTTAAACAGAAGCTAAATGAACTGGTAGTTGTATAGTTTACAACAGGAGTATGTGTGCACATCTGGGATCACGAGTGCCTCGTCTCAGCGAACACTGCTATAGGTAAGATGGAGTAGATAAAAGGTAGAATTGAATGATAAATGTGTACAGTTAATAACAATTGGATTGATTAGAAGCGGTACGACATACGTACAGGGTTGCCGCATGGCCTCAAAACGTCCAAGTCCACGGACCAAAAAAGGCTAGAATTCAATATTTACTAGTAAATTTGTAGGTTCCGATACAAAATTCAATTTTAATTTTTATCGTACTTTTTAAAATTCAATAATGTAGTACCGCCATGATAAATTTCTGCCGGCAAGCGCAATTGAAAAAACAATCGCAGAATCTGTCCGGAAAAAAGACCCTGCGGGTCGCACCGCACTCAACGTGTTAAATGTTATAGGAATGCGAAAGCCTTCCAAGAGTACACGAACACTTCTGTGACCATGGCGGTTTTTAGTCCATGTCCGCCAAACTAGGTTAAACAGACTAAGGTTAAATCAACACAATACCTATGTATTACCTTTCTTACAGCGCTAATCGTTCGCACATTATGCAATATAAAAAGGAATCAATATCACATACTATAGCCATTAATTTTTTCTCTATTCATCATCATCACAGTGGCACCAAAAATATTTAGGTATACTATGCGGGCGAGCGTCCACGATACTTGTCGTCGAGGGGTTTTAAAAGAACTTTAGACCTAGTGGGAGAACCGAAAAGTCATTGCAAAACTGAGATTTGGAAAGATTTGGACCGAAAATTGATTTTCAAAAGAGGTGTGATTTTCAAAAGAGTATATATAAAACAAATTGATAGCACAAATGAAGTCATTTTTTTAATTTAGGAACGTGATAGCTTACCAAGTTACCAGTTAGTCTAAACAGATTTACTTTTATCCAATAAATATACATATTTCCATTCACAAACTGTAGTAGTTCAGGTATGAGCAATAAGTTATTCGCTGCATGGACATTCTCAAGCATGAAAGTGTCAACGAGTTTGCTTAGGTTTCTCCTTCTACGACTCACCACCTGCGATGTGAGCGCTGTACGTGGTGGGGGCAGAAGGCGCCGTAATGCCTTCATCTTCACGACTATCAGGTTATAAGTACCTGAATAGTATATAAATGAGAGACTTTCCACCGATCAAACTTGTAGGTCCATGCTTGGTACGAAGATTAATTAATCAATCGTAAATACGGTAACATCACTAACATGTGCGCGTATAAAGGTCGGTTTCTTAACTTCGGTATTTGGTAAACCCCACAATATTGTGTACGAGAATGATTCTTGTACTTCTAGAATTTATGGCCAGTTACGCATGACTAACCTATTTGCATCGCTTTCAAGAGGAAGTTACTCATTTTTCGGACGATTAAGAGACAAAGACTGTGCTATATAACTTCACATTTCCACAACTATGAACTTTCAGATTCGCTAAGAACTAAACGATGACATTAACTGGACAACAGAACTTTTCAAATCCTTGCCTATCAAAGTAACCAGTGAATTATGACATGTAAATCAGCTATTAAAATTTGTAACAGGAGTTCTGGAGAGTGTCGGGCTGCGAGTCGCTGTTGGTATTCGTGCATAAGCAATTGGGTGCGTTTGTCTCCTTAGCTTTTCCGCGGGCAAGTTATCACTTACGGTCACAAAAAAAGCTTTTCTTTCCCCCCTCAAAAAAAAAAAAACAGCGAAGAGTTGGTGTTTGAGGTTACGATATCATGTTTCTATCGATCACCTATCATTTGAAAATCGCTCTATTCATAGCATTACCCATTGCCACGACAAATAAATGGAACACGAGCATTTAAGTGAGTTTTTAACGCGGACAACGAAACCCATGCTCTTTTCACAATGCCAGAAGTTGCAATTATCTATTCAATTATTGACAGCAAGTTGATGGAATATAATTAAATTGAAGTTGGATAACTTCATTAACATTTGTGCCACCAAATTTGCAACAATATTAGCATTTAGAATGATAGTGACCATATTTGATAAATTCATCAATTGCGATTTACTTCTTCAATATGCAAATTTTATAAAAAATTATAACGAGTGAATGTATCTTGGAATTCCCCTACCTTTCTTCACTAGTTTCGGGAATTTGAATTTCTGCATATTTAAATGCTTGCCGACGAAAGGGCCTATGCCAAAACCTTTAAATATAAAAATTATCGTGAATGAGACTCCCAACATTTCCCCCAAATAGCAAACCTTTAAATAAGTATGGAAATAATCATGCACGAGGCCCCCTTCCCCCATATGCTAGAGCCTGGACTCAAATGATGGATGACCTTCCCCACCCGAGGCCGTAATATAACTCACTTAAGTACACTTAGCGGCCCAAGTACTCGTAACAGAAGATTCCATGTCAGCGGTTGGACGGTTTAAATTGAAAAGCGGTCGGTGATTGGCTGACGGAATTAAGAACACTTAATTATTTTCGATAGCACGGCCCTTGGGGCGGTCGTGATGACGTTCAGGCGCCTGCTGTGGGATCCCAGGGAATGCAGAGACTCCCTAAGGTGCCACTGAAAGGCACCCTCCCTGGGGTTAATAATACTACATGCAATGGCAAGTCTATTGTCATTCAACTGAATACTTTCGTTGTCTTCCAATACCAACTGAAACACGTTCTTTTAAAATGCTTTTTGAAAGGCAAGGAAGAAAAACAACAAGGTAAATCTACTTTGCTGCAACAAGCGTTATAGTAACGAACTTTAAATTTATAATTATTATTAATAATTATAATTGATGATCCCGTAAAACCATAATTAGCTTACTAAGGCGTATTTTTAAAGAGTTAACTGCATCCATAAACAATTAGCTTCTCACATATATTTGCTTTAAATTGCGATTCGATTTGTACATTACTGTAACTTGCGATTGACTCGTATAGTGGAACATGAATGATTTAGAAGAGCTAAATTTTAAAAATCGTGTTAGTGATGATAGACAGATGGTCTACTGCACATTTGCTAGACTTTTAAACAAAAACGTTAATTCTTGCTAAAGTTTCACAGTAATGTTGGTTTCAGACATTTACTGATGGCTGCAAGAAGATGAGGATTCTCGAGAGCGGCAGCAACGCGTTCTTTGTCCGCGAGCTGCTTGTTGACAGCTGCTTCGGACACGTGACTTCCTGGCGTGATCTCCACACTCACTTTGAACCTGCACGCAAAAGTACAGGTCACGTGGACATGCTAGGCTTTGTTCAAAGTATAAAAGCTAATGTTTTAATTTCGGTATACAAAAATAAGGTACCTCTATTCAACATTCATCTCAAACCTTCCAGGTTTTATGACAAAATTTGAAATACATTAGAAGATACCTCGGCGGCAGAGTGTGGAGGAGCTTTAGTCTGATGCTAAGACCGATGAGGGCCGCCATAGAGCAGTGAGGGATGGTGGGTGTGAACTGCACACGCACAACACCCTTCTCATCATCCGCATAACAAAGAGACTCGCTCACCTGAGGAGGAGCAAACCAAATATTTTCCAGACTCGCACATTAACGGGTGTTATTTTATAGACCAACATATTTTAGTAGGTCTATATTATACATTTACTATATATACTATAATAGTAGTAGTATGGCTTTATATATAGTAGAGTTTTTTATATTTACAATACTAAACTATGACTATAGTTTTTTCATCTTGAGGATACATGCCGGTGTATTATTGAAAAATTTCAAAAAATCAAGTGAGTTTAAGACTTGAATGGAGATGAACCAAACTAGAATCCAGATCCTCTGCTGCTAAAAAATTCATGTGAATTATGTTTCATAGTTTATGAACTTTAAAATTTGTCGGAAGGAATAATTTTATTATGTAATAATCGTAGTTTAAGTACACTTATACTTATGTAATCAGACAAGGGTTAAAGAGCAATAAACAGTTTATACTCACAACGTTAAGTTGTTCCAGTGTGAGAGGATGTTCAGGATCTTGGATGTCACAGACAAGCTCGAACACCTCGCGAGCATCAATGGGATCATAGACATCGTCATCCCAGTCAGTGGGAGCAGCAGAACGTACGTTGCTCTTGCTGTACACTGCAGGGTTAATGTTTTCCAGACGCGACATATCCGCCATATTGTGTTGTTCTTCCGCTATTTTAGTCGTCTTATGATATAAGATACTAACGTTTAATAGCTTATAATTTAAGTTAACATTTTATACTTTCTTATAAAAACTAGAATGTTTTGCGCATTGGATGCAAGTTCATTCGTTATAAAATAGACCTCTGGAAAGATAAGAGTAAAAACTTCACTAAAAATATATACGTTGGACAAACTTGACATCAATAACCACTTTAATCTATCACATGATAGTGCAAAATTCGATCAGGTATTCAAAATCCTGAGAAGGAAAATTTGTGCTATGTATGAAAATGTGTTTGTGTGCTTCAATCCAGAATATACGACTGGATTGAAGATAGGAAGAACAAAAGGAATGTGTCACTTTCAAGGAATGGAAGGAAATTAAATGAATGAGAATGTTTGAGATTCAAAGGTAAGCTCCAGTTGAGTCCCTGAGGTCAGCAGCAGATTGCAGCTCCTGCAGCAGAGTAGAGGGTAAGTGAAGCTGGTGAAGTTTGTCACGATCACACACGTGATTAAGTAGCACCTGTTGGACAAGAAGTTTATTAAAATAATTGAATTTACAACTTTTATAAACAAATGAGTACACTGCTGTTTTTCATTTTGTAATTCTTCTTCTGTTGCATAGACATTACCTAAATATCATTGCTCTTTAAACATATAATTATATGAAAGATATTTAATTTCATCTAATTTATTGATATAATCATTTTATTTATTTAATTTCGTCTAGTATACCCTCAGAGTAAGTTGAATGAAAAAGATTGCTATAAAAAGAAACTCAACAAAATATTTATTTTACATCAAGAAATAGAGTTTGAGAAAACTAAAAATCAAGTGATGTTCAATTAAAAGGTGTTGATGGTTCTCAAAGATAAACTTGTAATATTTTGTGTTCACCTGTGTGGCACAGTCCTTGAGAGTGTAGATGGGAATGGTGATGTCAAAAGTTTGTCTTAGAGGTGCAACTTCATTAGCAGCATCAACTCCAAGGGCCTGGAAATAAGTGAATTGTTAATGCAAGCTTGAAATTGAAGGATGATAAATTGAGGAGCAAATACTAGAATAGAATGTTCCACATCAATTCATTTCAATATCTTCTGAGGAATATTCAAAGTCTGTGCAAGGCTTAATGAACAAAAACATACCCCAATATAATGCTTTGGCGTGAACACTTCCTGGCAATTTACCACCAATTTTGCACGAGTCTGATGGTCACGGAATATCCATGGATGAGTTTCATACGTGTTCACTGACAATTTACTTTGAGCAGGTAGTGTCTGTAAAAAAGAACAAAATAAATTAAGACTGAAGACTGGGACATATAATAGAGCCATGTCATTGGAGTCCAAATATTGGTCATTTGAAAGTGTTGGCACTGAAAATGTGATAAAAATTGGATAAAAATTGCATTAATCCCTATTTGTAAAACTATTTTCAGTTTCTAGCAAAAAAAATCATGTGTTATAAACCCATGATTTTCCAAGCCATTTATTGCACAAAAACATATCTTTTTGCACATAAAGAAAATATGACATACAAATGATACCTCAAAGCAGGGCTTAAAAGAACATGTGACAGCAGATAATTGCCATCAATCAAGAAGCTAACATTAAAGTTTCAAACAAAACTTAGGAATTGGAAGTTTCACAACAATCAAAACCCTTGAATATATTACTTTAATTAAAATATTAAAGAATTCAAACAAGTTTTCCCCAGAACCCAAGTACAGTGGCATAGTAAATATATGTATAGCATGGGCATTTAAAAATACTTAAAAATACAATTATTCTACAAGCTTCAAGGTTTGATTCAACTTAAATATGTGAAAATGAAGGCTTATGTATGAAGTAATATATTATTTAGAAAAAAGTTGATCTGATGGCAGGCCAAGACCTCACCTTGTAGAGGACACTTTTTCCTGCGAAGTTAACCCAGTAAACATCAACAGGACGTTCAGTGCGGTTTTGAAAAGTCACAAAACTAGGCAGCTGAAAAGAAAACAATACTTAATGCCAGAGTTAAAAAATAAAACATAAATACAAAACGACATTCTAAACATCCAAGACTGCTACAAATGTTTTAGTTGATGAAATTTCTTTATAAGCAACCATTGCATAAAAACCACTCACATCAGAGTTCATTGATCTTAGAAGAGGAGCTACAGATGAATTATTATACCGAGCAGCAGCAGGAGGCACAATTGCAGGTGGCAGAGCAAGGTCAACATTCTCTGCTGCTGGAGCCATAGGCCGCCCTTCCATCATATTATTGTTGCCTTCATTTCCATGTAATTCTCCTTCCATGGGTAACCCTAAATTGCTAGACATAAAACAACTTTATGACAAAATAAAGGAAAAAAATTAATTTAGAACCATGTGCTGTCTATAAGGTCAAATGAAATATAAACATTAATAATTATTAGTCAATTCAAATCCCCATAATTAAAATATGTGAACACAGAGAATAGCTAGGAATACGGTAATCAACGTAAGACAATGCTACTTTTCTGAACCACATATCAAATGACATCAAGTAATGATTATTTAAGAAAAATATTAAAATCACTTGGCTGCTTAAGTCGCAAATTTACCAGGAATTTAAAAGTAAAGAAAATAGCCAAAAAGTTCACCATTTCTTATAAGCAAAAACGTTTCGGAGTCCAGCTCCATCGTCAGTTCAAAACCTAGAACACAGGTACAAACAATTAGTAATTGTTGGATTCAAGCTCCATAGTAAATTTGATGGATTTGTGTTGCCAATTAAGATAATCAAAGAAACAGCCCACATGAGAGGGATGTTTGAAAAGTAAAAATGTATCATCTACATATCGGTTGTAGAAAAGTGGCTTAAAATCAACAGGATAATTTGCCAGCCATGTAGCTTCGTGGTAACACATGAAAATATTAGCAAAGGTAGGGCCGAGAGGAAGGCCCATGCCTAGACCGTCAATTTGTCTTTAAAATTTGCCAGCAAATACAAAAACAGAGTTCAAAAACTGATAATTCGAGAAGAGATTTTAAAAAGTTGCGGTTCAGACCCATAACAAGTTCATTGACACCTTTAAACAAAGAATTGAGGCAAATATCAATAGTTTCAGAAAGAGGTATGCTGGTGAACAAATTTTCTACATCAAATGAAGCCATAGTCAAGCCATAGTTCAAACACTATTACACCATGGCTTTCATATAGGCTCGACTTTCCATTCCATGCATTCTGAATTTGAATTTAGGCTCAATATCTTCTCACTTAATTGATTTCCTTCTGGCTTGGTGTTTACCCAGATTAAGAAATTCATGTCTAAGCAATACAGTGAAGTTGTTCCAGAGCCTGATAGTAGAAGCGTTGTTTACTGTTCTCTTCCATACTTCAGCCATGCGTCCAAAGTTATGTCAAGAGAATTAAAAGTTTTGTTTATGAAATACTTCCCAGACATTAATCTTCATGTCTTAGGTTCGTTTTTTAGATACAAAGATATCCTTCCTTCTCATATGCGATCGTCCCTAGTTTATAAATTTAGTTGTGCACGATGTGCATCTGTGTACGTTGGGATGACGGCATGCAACTTTTACACTAGGGTCGCTGAGCATAGAGGGAGGAGTTATAGGACTGGGCAGTTACTATCGCGCCCTCCTCATTTGGCTTTGCGCACTCACGCCGAACAGTGCACTGTTCCAGTGTCTGACACAGACTTTAAGGTTTTAGCTTATAGTTCTGGTGCTTCCAATCTGCGTTATTTTGGAATCATTGTATATTTTTAAAGAGAAGCCTAGTTTAAATGCTGTCTATAGTTCTTATCCATTAGAAATTGTGAATAGATAGGTACTTACTTTATTATTCTGCCCTTTGTCTGTAAATTTAGGTTTTTAACTTCTGTGTTTTTTTTATTAACTCCAAACTAATTTCCTGCCTTTATCTGTGTTCTAGATTTATCGAACTGACGATGGAGCTGGTCTCCAAAACGTTTTCAATAGAGGTATGCTAAATTTTTGTGGTGTTTTCTTCATTTTTAAATTTCTAGTGAATCTGCGATTAAAGCAATCTAGTGACTATTTTACTAGTTTAACATCATATTATTTTTTGACAACAGAATGAGATGAATAAATTTAAGAACTATCAAATCTCTTTGTCATTAGACTACTTATTTACATTAAGGGGGTATACCCTCCAGAAAAACTTCCACATTTACTAACAAATCTTTCTGAAAATTCACACATATATGTAAAACCAAAATACAAGAACATTTTGTTCATATGATTTTTTGGGAAAATTAATAGAAAACGTGAAATTCATAGAAAACAGACAAAAAAGGGGGTACTGTAGAAATCTATCTCCTCCTAGGGTTTTCAAGCTACAACATTGAGACACATCATTTGATGCGTAAAGACCATACCAATTGAGTACTGAAGCCCGATCTTTTATTTTTGCCTTAGTTTTTTTACACGTATTTTTCCATTTTCTTCTCATTTTCTTCAAATTTCCCCCCCCCCTCCCCCCATTTTGAATCTAAACTATTCACAAATCTAAAAAAAGGGGCTTCGTTGCTCAATACGTATGGTCTTTACAAATTGAATGGTATATGTCCCATCACTGTAGCTTCAAAACTCTAGGAGGAGATAGGTTTTCCGTGACAATGAATGTGAATGTTTAGGAGAGAGCGACAAAGTCTTGCCCGCATCGCAATAGGCACTCAATGTAGCAAGGATACAAAACTAAACATTTCTGGAGCTTGATTCCACTCAAGGATGGTGGGAACGACTACATGCGCACCTCCTCATACAATGCCAGGCAGGTTACTGAGCTGCACCTCAAGCAAACACTGTATTTATTGTGCTGGGCAGCGAATTAGCTCCTATCTAATTTGTTAAAGAACTCCCCAACGCCCCCCTTTCATGATCTGTCGTGAACACATAAATCAATGTACATAGATGGTAATGGTACCGTTGGATAGGGTAGGATGTCAGCTTTAGATGAGACTAAACGAGTAACTGAAGCACAACTCAAGTAGACACTATATTTAACACATTGACTACAATTGCTTGATCTTGTACAATTATTTCATTTTTTGTACTTTTTTAAGCAGGGTTGCCAGACGGTCATTTTTTCCGGACAAATTCAGTGATTTAGTTTTTCTCAATTGCATTGGCCAGCTAAAATTTATGATAGGGGTACTTCCTAATTAAATTTTAAACACTGCAAAAAGAAAATGAATGGAATTTTTATAGCGGAACTTACAAATAAACTAGTATACATTGAATTATCGGCCTTTTTTGTTCTCGGATTTGGCCGATTTTAGGCAACCTGAATACTAGTGTTTTGGCATTAGTTCGACACGCAAATGTATGACGTCACCATTTCAATCATCAACAAACGCATGGAACTAAAACATAGCTTAATATAAAATAAAGGAAAAACTAAAGAGGTGACAGAATTACCCACGATGACAGAATATACCGCGTTTACCCTAAGTAGTTCGTTCTAAAAATATATTATTTATAAATTAGATGCATAATTTTATCAATAAAGAGAGTACTTTTAGTCCTGTATATGGTATTACGTGATATAATGTTTCTAAAGTCATTTAGATCGTGAAATATTTTGCCTGGTTCCAAATGCCAAATGGAACCGCTCGGCAGTCAGCACTCGGCAGTAGTCGGCATTCCAGTCATCTCATTTTCCCAGTTGATTACTTTGTGATATACCTAGTTACTCATTGTATTTAAAAAACTTGTTTGTATTTAGAAATGATTTATTTAGGTATATCATAGATCTATAGTTTTTCTGTTATTTATTAGTGAATTATTAAATACTATTATCTTCAGAGCTGTTAGGAGTAGTAGGTATATATCCCGAAAGTTGAAATATTAGGAAGTAGAAGTACTACCGTAGTACCGGTATGTTGCACACAGAGTGGAAATCTAAGATTAGAGGTTCACTTAAAAAAAGCGTTCCGCCTTGAAAAAAAAAAAAACGTTCCAGGCAAGTGGCAACTAGAAACAGGTTTGCAGGTCGTCAGAAATCGGCCTCGGCATGAACGTTACGTGACTTACGTC